ACCAAATTTTTATCCTTTTTCTTTTGGAGGGTGTCTTTTTTGGGTTGTACTTTAAGTTAAAGTTTTTAAAACCGTTTTACTTTAGTGCTTCTTCGTATTCTGTTTTTGATGAGTTATATATTTTTTCATCGGAAGAATGTTGTGATAGTCGATCATTTATAGAGAGAGGGATCTGCTTAAAGACTTGGGGCGGGTGGTTTTATTCAGTGTGGATGTAGAGTAGTTAGTCATTTTGTTTTTTAAAAGGTTAGTAGGAGTTTTTTTGAAGATTAAAAGTTACGTCAAAAAAAATAACAATGTTTATATTGGTTTGCATCTCTATTTGGAATCCGATGTTTTTAAATATCTCAATTATATTTTTTCTTACTTTGTCTAACTGTGCGGTAGTTTTTTTGCGCATTACCATTAATCCGTCGTCTCGGTAATGACCTACATAATTTTTAGTAATGGTTTTGGATAAAGAGTCTAGAATGTATAAACCCTCCAGTTCACATACTTCGGCTCCGTCTAATTGATTATTAAACGGTTGTTTTAACATCCCATTGTGACGTTATAACAATCGTTATACATCTTTTTTATCCATGTTTCATTTTTAAAAAATACTAGCGATTTTATGCATTGATTTATGACTCGAATTATTTCATTGCTGATTTCAGTGTTTTGCAAATATTAAAGCGTTGTTTAGTATTTTATTTTGTGATGGATGGGTAAAATTCATTGATGTCGAGTTGTTTAAACACACAATGTTGCTTGTCGCTTATGTATGTAAACAATTTGATATATATCAATATAAACTATATATATATATATATATATATATATATATATATATATATATATATATATATATATATATATATATATATATATATATATATATATATATATATATATATATATATATATATATATATATATATATATATATATATATATATATATATATATAATATATATAATATATATAAAATATGAACATTAATAAATACGAATTCTCTCAATACTAATTTTTTTATTCAATCTAAGAAATTTTCGCTAGCATCTTCAGCTTTAATTACAAATTATTAACTAAATTCGATTACAAGCAAACGGTAACGTCACTTTTTAATGGCTTTTTTAAAGTTCGCTTTAATTGGGCTTCGTAAGTATAAAAAATATGGCGTCCGGAATTGCGTTTTTACATATAATTTTACATTTAATCTTTAGTTTTCATCTTCTAATTCAATTGTGTATTTGATGGCATGATATTGACTGATTAATATTTCTTAGGTTAAATAAATTTCTTAGATTAAATAAAAAAATTAGTATTGAGAGAATTCGTATTTATTGATGTTCATTTATTAAATTTATTCAACTCTCATACAATAAATTTTAAATGTCGTCATTTAAAATTTATTTCACAGCTAAATACGGAGCTAAACTTTATAAAGAAACAAAAAAATTACAACAAGCAAAAACAAATATGGCAAAATCGAAGAATCAATATATCTTTCTTCAAAAATGTGTAAAACATAGATTAATACCAAAATCGCTTGGAGTTGTATGTCCAATAAATAACAAAAGAGGAAAAGACATAACCAAAAGGTACTATTTTGAATTAAAATTTGTAAAAGATATCCAAAACTATTTATATAAAAATTTAACTCAAGATGATTATGAATCTGTTGAAAATGTTACTAAATAATCCCGAGAAAAAATGTTTGTTAAATCTAAATATCGTCGTATCAAAAAATTTAATATCTTAAAAATATAAATTTAAAAGAAAAAGCTAAGACTCCTTCATTTCTAAAAGACGTCGTGTTAAACCTAAGTGAAACGGAAATACCTGAAAACCACAGAAATCTTTTAGAAAATTTTAAACCTTTAAAACTGAGCGTTTCAGAAATAAAATCACTAATAGAACTGTGTTTATACAAATGTTATTTTTTATGGAATGAAGAAATTCACGAGCTTGTGGATTCAGGTCCAATAGGACTTTCACTCATGGTAATACTTGCGGAAGGTTTCCTGCAATTTTTTGAAAATAAAGCAATCAGCATTGCGCTTAATTCTAATCCACCGTTAGAAATAAAATCGTTTTTGAGGTACGTAGATGATAGCCATGCAAGATTTACAAATAAAGATAATGCCATCCGTTTTCAACAAATATTAAGCAGTCAACATCATACCATCAAATACACAATTGATGAAAACAAAAAATTAATTTTTTTAGACATCCAAATAACCAATAATCAAAAAAGTAATTATGATTTTAACATACATCGAAAAAAAGCAACAACAAATATTCAGCCCAATTCAAACCACGATCCAAAAATCTTAGAAGGAATATTTAAAGAATTTATTCATAAAATTTTATCAATTTGCTCTGAAAAATTTTTAAATAAAGAAATCGATTTCCTAATAAATGTGTTTGTTGAAAATGGATACGAAAAGAAAAAATTACAAGACCTTGCAAATATTGTTATAAAAAAACGACACTCAAATAATGAAATAGTCTTGTCTAACAACGAAGTAACCATGCCAACTATATCACTACCATGGATCCCAATATTATCATCAAAACTTCAAAAAATCTTTAAGAAAGCAGGTTACAAGGCAGTCTTTAAATCTATTGCAAATCTTAAATCTTTGCTAACTTCACGCAACAAAACAAAACTACTAACCAATAACCATCCCGGAGTATACCTAATAGAATGCGAGTGTGAACAAAAATACATTGGTGAAACAAAAATGAAAATAGCAACAAGAACAAAACAACACCAAAAAATGTTTTTGAAGAAAAACTGGAACAATCTGTAATTGGGCATCATATAGTTAAATGTCCATGTAGTATTAAATGGGATCAAGTAAAAACGTTAAAAGTAGAATCCAAAAAATTGAAAGAAAAGTTCGAGAGGCAACCGAAATTCAGTACAACAAATGCGAATTTAGATGATGGTCAATATGTAAATATTCTGGACGTCATATTTTTTATACCTACGTAATATTAAAGAAGCCCAATTAAAGCAAACTTTGAAGAAGCCATTAAAAAGTGACGTTACCGTTTGCTTCTAATTGAATTTAATTAATAATTTGTAATTAAAGCTGAAGATGCTAGTATCAAAAATCTAGCGAAAATTTCTTAGATTCAATAAAAAAATTATTATTGTGAGAATTCGTATTTATTGATGTTCATATATTTAATATATATATATATATATATATATATATATATATATATATATATATATATATATATATATATATATATATATATATATATATATATATATATATATATATATATATATATATATATATATATATATATATATATATATATATATATATATATATATATATATATATATATATATATATTGTTATTTAGGTGCCCCAAGAAGACAAAACGGTCTTGTCACAGAGCACTGCGGAAATGCATTTAATAAGGAAGTTCACACCTCTTTCCTTACCGTGACGTGAAAATTTCCAGAGCTCGTTTCGAACCTGGATCTTCTGCTAATAAAGCAAGTGCTCTAACCACTGCGCCACGGCCGCACACACACACAAGTTAAAAGGTTTTGTACATCAACGCGTCATTCTTATTATTTGCGCATAAACAAAAAATTGTTGGCTTTTTTGTTTGTGAAATTCAAGATTGCATCATATCTTCAATTTCAAAATGGTTGACTTTGCACTCCATGATTGAGTAGAATTTTATGTTGGTCAAAGTATTTCATAACTTTCAAACGTTCTTCTTAGTTAAGTTTTTCGGCTTTTATTTTATATACTAAAGATAAACTGGGCTGCAAAAAATGGTTGCTTGAAAATTTTTTGTTGATTCATACAATGTCGTATTGACAAGTTTCGCAAGAACTAAAAGTGTTACAATCACCCCTAATTTATTAAATGTTAAGTTCAGTTTGATCACACCTTCGATTCGAGTTTGATCGATAATGATTTTTTTTTGTGGCCGACAATATAGTTCTTTTTTTAACATTTTAAAAATATTTAAAAACTCGAAATCTTTGCAGCTTATTCTTTACGTGTAAAGTTACGAAATTTCATGTTAAAATTTATGCAATTCAAATTTTAATTGGATAACATTAACTTAAAATGAATAAAAGTTGCATTAAACAAAATATGATGATCGGGGTCCAATGTTATAATTGGTTTAATGTTATGAAGAAAATATGAAATTTTGTAATTCCTAACATCTTGTAGTGTTAGTATATTCCCGATACGAGCATTAAAAACTTAAATCAAACATTATTATGGGTTGATTTTTTTATAAAATAAAGTTTACAAAAATCGAATTAACACAAACTTAAATGAAAATTTTGAAAAATCAATAGAAATTCAGAGAATAAATTTACTACGTTTCTGCTTGTTTTTTTCCGGAATTTCTCGCCAATTAACGAGTCTCGTCTTGCCTGATTTTTCATTAATATAATTTTTCCTGTTACCGTTATTTTTCTCAACTTCACTTTTTATCTTAATCGCTACCGTTTCAAATGATTCCGAGATGCAACAGCTTATTTATTAGACAAAATATTTAATTGAACCCGTGCAAACCTTTTATTTGATCATAAATTATTGGATTTGTTTATTTTTGAGACGTTGTACACGGTATATCATGATAAATTTTTTTGCAATATATCATTAACTTCTTTATTTTTGCTAAATGAGCTGAATATAATAAGATAAAAAAATAAAAAAAGAGGAGGGGGGGGGGGGGAAGGAGGAAACGTAACTAATTACTCGACTCGACTAAACCAAAATATCTTGATCTTTGTTTTAAAGAAATCTATCAGGAAAATTAAATGCTAATTAATTAATATAGCAATTAAATAGCTCTTTAAAGCCTTCTTGCAGTTTCTTTATTAATACACTTTGAAAAAATAAATTAGAATAAATTTTTTTAGCCTACTGAAGTATATACATATAGTCTTTTTGCTTTTAAGACAATCGTGTTGACCTGATATAATAAGATTAAATAAAACCACGTAAAAATCATCGAATAAAACACGATTAAAAAACATCTATTAAAACACGAATTAAAAAAGCAATGTCCTTCATACAACTAGAAGTTTAATATGATAAACCGTCAAGTCGGAAAAATCATCTTTAAATTGTATATTCTTTTTTCTCGTAGTTGCTAATAGATGACTTGAAGACCAGCCAATCAGAACAATTCATCTTTGAATATTGCGCAGCGTAAGCTCCGACGAAATGTTTCTAAAAATCGATAATGAAATGATTATTCTGACTATCAGTTTTTATCAGTTTTTGAAAAATTATTTTGAGTCTGTATAAATAAAGATGAATTTGAAATTTTTTTTTGAAAAAGCAAAAATGATTTAAAAAGTAGTTTTCGAAAAATTTTGTAAAAAAGAAAAATTCTCAAAAAATCTCGAGCTTGTTCACACATAATTAGCTAACTCAATTTTAATACAAAAAATCTAACAAAATTGAAGTTCATAAATCATAACCAATGAGAGATAAAATAAAGTGGAAACCACTCATAAATTAGTTAATAAACACATGTAAAAAATATATATATATAAAAAAACAAACAGAGTATCACTACAAAAGCGAGAGATCCAGAATAAATCAGCAATGAAAACAAGAAAAAAAAAAATTATATGTTAAATAACATTATAAAATATATCATAATTTTTTAAAATTATAGCTCATCCTAAAAAATGAAATGTTTTGAAATTAACCTAAACAAATAAAAAAAGAGCATGTTGTACTTGAAGAAAACTTGGTAGATGAACCTGAAAAATACAAAATAGTTACAGCTAGATTTTTGTTGAGCTACTTTTTGCGTAAACTGTGAATATAAACACTCTGAAAATACCATAATATTCGTTAAAATATATATTCTGCCAGATTTAATAAAAAAATATTATTAGCCGCGTATATATACTGACTCAAACTAAAAAATATTTTCAGTTTCATATATAAATAAAAAAAAGTTTTACACATTTACTATAAACTATATATTTAACCAACCAAAATAAACTAACTTATATTAAAAAAAAAGTAATTATTTTATAGCTCGAATTGAAATTTTTAATTAACTGGGAATCACATTAAACGAGGACAAAAATAAAATAAAATATTTTTACATTTTTACTCTTAGCACCTAAATTATAATTTTGAACCAACTAAAGAAAAATACTGCCGCTGTAAAAATATCAAAACATCTATTAATCGTTTACTTACAGAAGAAATCACAAAGAAGTGTTTAATATTAAAATTTAAAAAAATATCAAAACATCAATGGTTTACTTACAGAAGAAATCACAAAGAAGTGTTTAATATTAATATTTAAAAAAATAAGTTAAAGTATAGATAACATATTGGTAGAGATTAATAGATAACATGAATTTGCCACAAACATTCAGCATTGTCTTTCGTTAACAAATCGATCCTTATACTTCTGCTAATATTATCTGCGATCCGAAATGTTGCCAATATGTGAATATAACGTTAAAAAAGTGATTCAATAAATTTTTTAGAACAAAGTAAAATAATTTTCGGTAAAAGCACTAAACACACTTTCGGTATTAAGCACACTTTAATTGCTAACAAAACGTGAAACAAAAGACGGTTGATATTTAAAAAAGAAAAACTACATAATACTCACACACTTAATACTTAGACAAAATAACAAATTTTTAAATGTCCTTAGATATAACACTTAGACAAAATAACAAATTTTGAAATGTCTTTAGATATAACGCTTAGACAAAATAACAAATTTTGAAATGTCTTTAGATATAACACTTAGACAAAATAACAAATTTTTAAATGTCCTTAGATATAACACTTAGACAAAATAACAAATTTTTAAATGTCCTCAGATATATCACTTAAACAAAAAAACAAAACAAAACAAAAAAACTAATTCTGAAATGTCCTCATATATAAACCCATTAACTAAGTATCTTTACTCATAAAAATTGTTTTGAATTTTAAATTGATAAAAAATGCTGCACAGTTTCAGAACGTATTTTTAGAGAAAGAAAAACAAAAATAATTTCGTAGTTTCTACCACCAAAAAAATTTAAGAACAAAGTGGTGACAAAAAATAAATTTTCGGCTACCGAAGTGATACTTTTTATTGTCCAAAAAACCTTTAAAAATTTATTAGTAGTAAATTTCTTTTAAAGAAACATAAATATAAAGAAAGCGTAAATAAATTTTCAATATTACTTAGCACTTAAAATTTTTTTAAATTACGAAAATAATTTATAAAAATACAAGAAAACTAGTTTTAAAATCGTAAAAGATATAACCAAAAAAAATTTTTCTAAATAAAAAAAGCAACGTCTAAATATAAACCAGACTAAAGTAGAAACAATATATATAAAAGCTTATTAACGGCACTCTTTATAGTTAAACATACCTTTATACCCATTTCTTCATGTTACCATACCAACATTAATCCATCAGAAAATATTTAATTATTTACTGTTGAACAAAAATATCTTTTAAACAATTTTTCAGAAAATTTCAGTTTTATATTAGAGATATAAGGTGGTGAATATGAATTAACCTCAATATTTTATAAAGGATAGTATTAAGAAGCTTCCTACAAAAAGTTAACATAAAAAATTACAAGAACTTTCTTGTATATTACCTTGCATTTACTACATAGTGCCATTCTTGACAGCAATCCAAATGAATTTTCAATGAGCTATAATTATACTTACTTGAGAGTCTCTTGTTAAGCTAAATGCTAAAAAAACTGAAATTTTTTTTTTTAAGTTTCATCAATCTAACTTAATCCAACTCGACTCACCTGAAACATGAAACCAATCAAGCAAACTCAACGATCAGACGACATTCATCGAGGGTCATCCTTAAAATATATAATAAAAATATGAACTTGTACTTTTGAATTGTTAAAATTTAAATAAAAAATCAAAGAAAATGCCCAGTCTTCTTCATAACATAAGGTTAAATTTCAACTTACTTATGGAACTTCTTTCTGCACGCAACTGCTGTGGAAGTCTTTGTAAAAGCAACTAAAGCTTTATGTCGCGTTGTTGACAGTTTTAAATTCTAATTGAAGAAATTTATAATTTTTTTTTTAAAAACCAAGAAGAATTGTTAACCACAAGAGAATAGATAGTAATTCATAAACAAACAAACATTATGGAAGTTTTTTCATAAAATTTTTTTTTAATATTGCGAAAAAAATGTTTACTTCTACTTCTCCAACAGATTGCATAAGTGCTCTTAGTTTTCGCTCAGACATACTGGGAGGTAAAGAGCTTATAAGAACTCTGTTACCCACATCTTGACTTTGTGCAGTTTTTATTTGATCTCTTGAGCTAACATGATCATGAGATTTTGAGTCTTTACGATCTTCGCGCTGAATATAAAAAAGCATATAGTTTTCCATAGTAGAAAATATAACAAAAATAGTAATAATTAATTAAGAACATTAAAAAATTACAAAATTCTTTTTATAATGCTATTAATTTATTAAAACAATAATGGTACTTTGACAGAATCCACTTCTTTTTTAAAAGTGGAGGAAGGATGGTGAGAAATAATGCCAATCAAATTAATTCTTTAATAAATTGAATGTATGAGATTTCACAAATGACTTTTAAACCATTAAAAACATATTAAATTATTACTTTATTAAATATGTATTGTAGTAAATAAAAAATTACAAATAACCTTTTTTCCTGTTCTTGTTCTCAAATCACTCGTCCTAATCTCTCCAGTAACATCTCTTGTTTCTTGATCACGGTCTTCTTTATGACGCTTAGCAGAACTAAAGCCTACTCTTTCTACACGAGTTGTTGAGTTAGTTTCTCTATCACGTCGCTCTCTCTCACGAAGTCTTTGCTTCTCTAACTCTTCATACCTTTGTGTATCTTTATTAAATAAATTTCGCTGAGGATCACGACCTTTGTGATGACTTGAATGTTGACGACTTGGTCGTTCAGAAGATCTATTAATAATGTAATAACTTAAAAGTATGTGATACAGACGGAGTTTAAAAAATAATTTCCGATGTTTTAGCATGAAAAAAATTCTTATGTCCAATTAAGTAATTATAAATTTAAATTATGTCTGCCCCATAGTTAATTCTATTAATTTATAATTCTATTGTAATTCAATCACTCCTCAAAAATATTTGCGTGTATGTATACATGCAATGAGTGTGTATGTGTGTGTATATATATCGGGTGGACACGGAAAAATCCGATCAACTTTAAATTGAAATTTCTCTAAAACCATAAATGCTTTTTATTTCAATTTTTTTATTATTAAATGTGTTTACATAAATTAGAGTTTCAACTTAATTTTAAGGGGCTTTGATGGGTTGCTTGGCAAAAAATCGAACTTTATAGCGGGTTGATGCCATCATTTTACAGATTTTTTCTTATTTCACCATATTGGTCGCATTATAACACTTTTTTTGGAAGTCCTTTTTATTATTTGTTAGTCAACCTGTCTTACAAAGAACTCCTTTAACTATTGCCCAAAAATCTTTAATCTTGCGCTCTTCAGGACGATTTGGAGGATTTGCATCTTTAGGAACAATTTTCACATTATTATCTTTGCACCACTGTAAAACTTTTTTAGAATAGTGAGAGGCAGCAAGATCGGGCCAAAAGAGACATCAGTATTTGTGTTTTTTTATGAAAGGCAAAAGTCTTTTTTGGAGGCATTCTTTGATGTAGAGATTGCCAGTCAAGGTCTTTTTAGTGACAAAACAAGAGGACTGCATACCACAGCTACAAATTGCTTGCCACACAAGTAACTTGGATGCAAATTTTTCTCGTCGAATATATTTAAATTGATCATCAACAGGTTTATCTTTGTTTTCATAGTAAAACTGTTGACCAGGAAGTTGTGAAAAATTATGCACATATTTTTATCCGCCATTGTTTTAACCAACTTCTTTGCGCGTCGAATTCCTTTAATTTCACAATTTAAGCTTCTCTTAGGTGTATTTTTTTTATGAAATGCTTTAATTCCAGCATTTTTAAGTACTTTTTTGATATAAGAACGAGAAGTCTTGAATTTTCTTGCTAGATCTCGCTGTGACTGGTTTGGATTTCTTGCTATTGAACCTAAAATCGACTTTACTTTTTTGGATTTATTGAAAGTTTTTTTTCTTCCACTTTCAAGTTTTCTTTCGAAGCTTTGAGTAGTCTTGAACTTGTTTATAATATCTATGACTGTAGATTTTAGGACATTTGTGCGTTTAGCAATCAAGCGAGGTTTAATTTAAAAAACTAAAATAAAATAAAAAGCATTTGTGGTTTTGGAGAAACCTCAATATAAAGTTGACCGGTTTTTCCGTGTCCACTCAATATATATATATATATATATATATATATATATATATATATATATATATATATATATATATATATATATATATATATATTATATATATATAAAGTTCTCCATAATGAGGGGGTAACCCTGCCCAAAATTTATTCCTAGAATAGGCCTTGAAATATATATATATGTGCATGCATATATATATATATATATATTATATATATATATATATATATATATATATATTCAACCCTCGGAATTAGGGTCAACATTCGGTAATGCCGACCTCATTTTTAGGTTTTATGGTCAGACCTATGTATCAAATAATTTTAACCGACCTGATGTCGACCTTAAAAAGATAGAGGTCAGGAATAATTTGCTGACCTCATTTTTGCCTAATTCCGAGGGTTGATATTATATTTATATATATTTTATATATATACATATTGAGTGTGTATATATATATGGGCCCTGCAAATCAATTCACAAATCAAGTGTCAGTTCTGTTTAAGTCAAAAAAATTGATTTAAGTTGTTAAAATCAATATTTATTTTTTGAGTATTTTTTTTTTAGATATCCAACGCTAAGATGGTATCAAAATGTTTTTATTTATCTTGACCAGAGTATAAAAAAAAAAAAAAAATATATATATATATATATATATATATATATATATATATATATATATATATATATGCCTTTCCAGGAAAGTTGTGCAGTTTTTCGTTTTGTATGACTAAATTTAGGGCAATTTCCAAGCATTGGCGCGAATAGATTCTGATGCCAAATCTAGTTAATTTGTTCAGCGATGTTTTCTTTATGTGTTCCTGTACCAAAAAAAACATTGTGCCTATTAATTTTAAAAATTTGTTGGGCCAATCTTACACTGATTACGATAGATAAACACTTTGGCTACTGTAAAGGGATTTTTGTTGATCTTTAGGCTTTTTTCCAGTCATACAAACTTTATGTTTTTTGACTTATTTTTTTATCAAACTAATTTTTTTTTTCAAAATACTGTTACTAGAACTTTGGATCAAACAAATCCAAATCCAAAATGGTTTCCTTGAAAGATCGGGTAAAAGACTTTGGATCTTTTGTTGTTAACTAAACTAGATCAAAACGTATCAATGTGATTCAAAAATATATTTACACATTTTTTTGTGTGATTATTTTAGGTGCTCCAAGAAGACCTAATTACAGAGCACAGCAGAAAAACATTTAACTTGGAAGTTTACGCTTCCTTCAATTTATTTTTAAAAACAAAAAATATACTTCTTGTTTTAAAAAATAAGTTTCTTAAACTATGCTTAATAGATTTACAATTTTGCTGTGAATTCTGATGAGTTGTCAGCAACTTTGAAAGATTTTAAGAGTTTAGAAATTTATTGTATCTAAAAAGTCTGAGTGAGTCTCATCCGATTGAATTTTTTCAAATTATGATTTAGAATTTCAAAAATTAACCAGTAGTCTGGTGAAATATGTAACTCAAGACCTAGTGGCTGGTCTTTATTAACAAAAACTGAAGGATTTCAGCTTTGATTCTATCCATTTTTACACCTTTTTGGACCTCCCTTTACTTTTAAATACAGAACTTTTTAACATTTTTAAATTCTGATCTCGATCAAAAGATGCGCCAGTACCAAACGGTTGGTACGCCAGTACCAAACACCTCTAAGGTTTTACCATGATTTGAATTTCACCTCTGCAGCAGGCTCAATATACATCTGCCAATAGTCTTGTTGATCTTAAAAGTGTAAATTAAAAATAATGCAATGTAGATAAGATAAGGTTTAAAACGACATTGCTAAATACTTATTATATTAATTTTTGACAAGAAAAAATCAAAGCGTATAAATAAAAATCAAATCTATTGATTTGATTTTTATTTCTACTGATTTTAAGAAAAGTCTATCATTAGAAAAAAAATTTGGTTTAGAGTTACTTTCTTTGTATTTTTCACTTGATATAAAACCATTTTACAAACCATTGTTTTTAAACAATTTGTTACTTTATGACAAACTATTCTTAAATAATAAGACTAAAATATCAAAACTTATGAAACTAAGTTTTACTTTAAGAATTGCAGAATCAGAAAAGCAGAATCAAAAACCACAATCCTCTGGTGAGAGAAATGTAGTCAGCAATTCCTTTGATCTCTTTGAGTACTTTATTACTCAGAATAAAAACCTGCCTGAATTTAGAGAAATGCAACTCGAATTTCATGAAATTCAAGGCGTTTAAAACAGCTCCATATTTGTTATTTTTCATCTAATGGTCTGATTTTTTTCCGCAAGTTTATAATAATCTCTGCACTTTTCAAAAGTCTAAATGTAAATAATTTTAAAATTAGAAACTTTTTCATTTTGTTTTTGTAAAAAGATAGAAGTGAAGCAGTTTTATCTTTACCTTACTATTTTTTAACTTATTATGGTTTTATGATATAAATAGTTTATTCTCCAGCTTAACAGTTTTATTTACGACTACGGCTATATGAAGCTCTCTGACATGATAGCAGGAAGTTAACAAGATTAATGGTCGGCCAGGAAATTTAGCTAATCTTGTACAAATTCCTTTTATACAGCCAGGGCTTGAAGTGGATGAACTGTATGAGATCAAAAGCATCTAACAAATTTCTAATTGCTGTGTATTGGGCCTCAATGCTATTGTATTTAAAGACTACGTTTTTTTAGTTTCATAACGAATTTGTGCATTTTTAAAATACCACCAGTTAACAAAAATAATAGTAATAAAAATGCGCAAAATTGGTATAGATAAAAGACCTTTCATTACTTGTAATGACATTATTATAAAGTTAATGATTTGTAAATTTCTATTTGCACTGATTGTTTAAAAATGCCCATAAAAACTCAAAACATATAAAAATTTTAAACTTTAAAAGAGTGGCGCGAGTATAAGTAGTTATTTAAAATAAAAAATCAAAAATATTCATTAAGAAAACAATACCTTGGGAATATTTTACAACACTTTCCGTATTAAAATTTGTTCATGAGGGTCAAAATGGGCTAATATACATTGTGGAAGTACATTAAATTTTATCATTTTTTAAAAAAACTAAAAAAATATTAATTTTTAAGCAAATTGTACATACATTTTAGTTTTTATTTTATCTCCTATTCATGTAATTTATTACATTATTTATAATTCATGTAATTTATTACATTATTTATAATTCATGTAAATTTACATTATTTATTATTTATGTAATTTATTACATTATTTATAATTTATGTAATTTATTACATTATTCATAATTTAAGATTCATATTGTTGTTTAGGTTTTTCAATTACTTTACAAAAACATGTCAGTGACCAAAATATTTAGTGAGAAAACCCTGCTAGCACAGCTTAAAACAAATTGCTAGATAAGTAAGGAGCAATGAAAAAAAAAAAAGGAAGATGATATGCATTGCTTGTAAAACTATCACATGCACATAATGTTAAAAGGTACAAACATTTGAACTTATTAAAAGATGATGAGAAAAAAACTTTGTTATATACAAAATACAGATGTGTTTTCAATTAGTTTGGATGAATGTACTGATACAATTGGCACAACATGCAATTATTGCTAGATACAAATTATATATATTATATGAGAAGAATTGATGAATTATTAAATTTGATAAAAACAACTTAAGGTACAGACATGAAAACCCTTCAAGGGGCAAATTAAGTGATTGCTAATTACAATATCTGAAAATATTTCTGATCTTTAAATTCTTAAGTTTATCATTCTCATTAAAAGTCATGAAAACTGTTTTAATGAAAAGCTAAACTTATCATCTAATCTAAACCTTTAATTTTAATTTTATATCTGTGTTAGAGAGTTACAAGCATTTAGTTGACAGTTATATTTGATTTATATCTGTGTTAGAGAGTTACAAGCATTTAATTGTTATATTTGATTTATATGAAAATATTAAATAAAACTAAAATAAGATATCAAATAAGGGTTTAAAAAAAAAAAGATTAAAATAAGTAGTCACAAATTTTTATTTTAAATTAAAAATATTTGATTACCGCTAATTTCCAAACTGTTGTGATTTGCAGTTGTTTTATTTTTAATATTTCATTGCTGATTGTTTTGTCAAATAAATTAAAATATTGAAATTTAAAATCATAATAAAAATAATAATAAAAATAACAATAATAATAGCATGGTTTTATAATTAGGCACAAATATTTTTTATTGAATAACAACTATTAAGTTTTGTGATAAAAACAGTTTACATTTTTTTAAAAACTAAAAATTTAAAAATCAGAAGCATTTCCAGATATTGCAATTTGCTATCACTTAATTTGTCCCTTGCTCATATATTTTCCATGTTTACTTAAATATTTACAAAATGAAGTAAATACAGAGTAATACAAAAATATTAATGAGGCTTTTATAGCAGAGGAACCCAAGAACATTAATAAGGCTGTTATAGCAGAGGAATCCATTAATGAGGCTGTTATAGCAGAAATAAGATGCTTTTTATGAAAGATTTAATCAATTTTAAGAAATGATCATAATTTGGAATTTGTAGTGACTCCTCAAAAACTGAATTTGAATAATAAAAATTCAATTAATTTACATAAAAAAATAATTTGGAAATGGTGCTGATAGAGCTTCATAACTACTTTTTATGGAAATAAAAATTTAGATACAACTGTAATACGGCAAAAAATTGACTACCATATGCATGCGAGTGTAAAAAATCCTAAACCCTACAATTGTCAGGTTAAAAAAAAATTCCATTAAGAAACAATGTGGAACCATAGACATTATTCTAAAAAAAAAGTTCCCCGTAAGCCTCTGAATTGACTTTTGGAAAAAAAAAGTTTATACATATACATACATAGATACATACATAGATACATATATATATATACATATATATATATATATATATATATATATATATATATATATATATATATATATATATATATATATATATATATATATATATATATATATATATATATATATATATATGTATATATATATATATATATGTATATACATATATATATATATATATATATATATATATATATATATATATATATGTATATATATATATATATATATGTATATATATATATATATATATATATATATATATATATATATGTGTATATATATATATATATATATATATATATATATATATATATATATATATATATATGTATATTATTAATTTTTTCAAAGCTGATTACAACTCTATAATCTCCAATTTACAAAATGTAAACTGGTATTTACTAGCCAAACAAAATCAAGATGTTGAAACATTCTAGCAAACTATCTGTAATTTTTTAAATTTATTTATCTCATCAAATGTACTGCTAACTTTGGTGAAATTCAAGATCTGCTCCTGTTATATGATATAGAAGTTCAAAAAAATTGCATTTCCAGAGAGAAAGATTTAGTTGTTAAATCCAATATTGCCAAGTTTCACTCTTTCGTAAATAAAAAATCCAAATGCTATAATTCTGTTGCGCCATTACTTCAAACTGATTGTTCCCTTATTACAGATGATTGTGAAAAATCGCAACTTTTGAACAATTTTTTTTGGCTCTGTTTTTGTTACTGACAATGGTATTGCACCAGTCTTAGATTTACCAAAACACAAAAATTCTTTAAATAATATTTATTTTCGTACAATTCTGTTGTTTCTCATCTACAAAAGCTTCCACCCAAATCTTCCAAATCCCCTGATGGATATCCTGCCATATTTTTAAAGTCAATTGCAAATGTTATTGCTATTCCTTTTTCTATTCTGTTTGAAATGTCAATGTCCAAAAATGTTTATAATGTTTAAACCCATCGTTATCCACAAATTATAGACCTATTTCTATGACATGTATTGTCTGTAAAATTGTGGAATCAATTATCACCAAAAGTATTACTTCTGAATAATTTCATTTCTGTGCATCAGTATGGTTTCTTAAAACGTAGATCCTCATGTACACAGATGTTGACAACATTAAATGAGTGGACCACTGCTGTTAATAATAAAAAGATAGTTGATGTCATCTATATAGACTTTGAGAAAGCCTTCGATACTGTGTTTCATTCTAAGTTACTATTTAAACTGCGTTGTTACAGTATTAAGTATGAGTTGCTAAATTGGGTTACAAACTTCTTGACAAATCGTTCTCAACGTGTTTGTATTAATGATTCATACTCAAACAGCATTCATGTAAAAAGTGGAATACCTCAAGGAACTGTTTTAGGACCCATTTTATTTTCAATTTTTATAAACGATATAACCTCGTGTATTGAGGGGGATTATGGAATCAAGCTTTTTGCAGCAAGTTGTATCAGCAAGTTGTATCAAGCGAGAAAAGACGGAAATAATATCAACCTTGTAAATACTTTAAAGAGAATTTCAGGATGGTCAAATAATTGTCTACTCAATATATCTACCAAAAAATGTTTTCACCTGCGATACGGAAAGAATCTATTACCAGAACATTCATACTTATTGGATATCGACATGCCTATCGAATCAATTGATTCGATCCAAGATATTGGGATATTTATTTCTTCCGATATGAAATTTTCTAAACACTGTTCTCACATTGCTAGCAAAGCAAATTCTTGTGCTTACTTACTCTTAAAGTCTTTCATCAGTAATGATTCCCAACTTTTGATGAGCCTATAAAGTTTATATTCGACCAATTTTAGAGTCATGTACCCCTGTGTGGAATCCGTATCTCCTAAAAGATATACGTCGGGTAGAAAAGGTCCAGAAACATTATACAAGAATTGTCTGCAAACGGTGTTGTATTCCATATAAAGATTATGCTTCAAGACTTGATATCTTCAATCTTGACTCTCTTGAATGCTGGAGAATAAAATTTGATCTTTTAATGACTTATAAGATTATGCACAACTTAGTTGATTTGCCTTTTTCTGAGTTTTTTACTCTCGCTCCTACTCATTATTCAACTAGATGTCATTCCCAAAAATTAACATCACGCAACAACTACATCAATGATATAAGGAGATTTTTTTTCAGTGAAAGAGTTACTAAGATATGGAATTTGTTACCTGATTATTTGGTGTATTCCTCTTCATTGTCTCTATTTAAATCGAATTTAAAAACCTACAATATTCAGAGACATTGTTTACTGTTTTAAACTTGGTGTTGCATAAGAGTAATTCTCCGATTACCTTTATCACCTTTTTGTATTTTTATTTAAATGCAAATAAATTGAAATAATATATATATATATATATATATATATATATATATATATATATATATATATATATATATATATATATATATATATATATATATATATAAAACAAGGAAATTACTAAAATACTAATTAAAGGGGAGAAGTTATAACTAAAAAAATTTTCGGGAAAATTTTTAATTCACTAAATATTTGTTATATTGATTTTTTTTTAATTTCACTTTTAGGCAACAAAATTCATGACCACATAAAGGGAGTTTTTTTTAAAAGTTGTTTTTAAAAAAATTCAGCAGTTTTATTTATTTTAGAAAGAGAATGTTACCAATCAAATTTTTGAAAGTGAATGTTACCAATCAAACTTTTTTTCTCAGAATTTTAATTTAAATTTTAGCTTCAATAAAAAAAAAAAAATTTTATAAAAAAAATCAAAAAGCAGGTAATATAAAAATTGTTTTTGCCTTTAATCACAAATAAAAACCTATTATTAATTTTATACCTAATAACCAAGTCATTTTTTTCTCTTCTTTTGCGTTGTGGACTAGGTGAGCGAGAATCAGCTGATGACCATGATCTTGAACGAGAGCGAGAATCAGAATTAGACTGAGATCCAGACATGGATGATCGACTACCAGATTCTGAACCAGTCCATGATCTAGATTGTGATCTTGAAAAAGACCTTGAACGACTTCGATACCTTCCACGTTTATTATAATTATCTCTATTGCGCCTTACATCTTTTCCCTTTTTATGTTAAGCAATTTATAAAAATCAGATTTAATTTAAATTGGGAAAAAGAAAAAAGATTTGATAAACTTACCTCAGCCCTATATCTATTATCACCTCTACCATCACTTCGCCTACCATCGTGCATCTCTAATCCACCATGTTGCTTTTGCATGGCTTGTTGATGTTGTGCTTGTAAAGCAAGCTGCTGCTGTTGAACAGCAGCTAATTGTTGCTGCTGTTGAAGAATTAATGCTTGACTTGCTTGAAGTGTTGCATGCAAGTTGTGAGGTTGACCGGGTATAGCTGAAGAATTTGGTATAAAAATTGGCTGCCCACCTGGTGTTAAACTACGTATTTGTCCAGAAATACCATTGGCTGTTGTTAATAAAGTAGGTCTTTGATGACTTAAATTTGATAAATTTGAAGTTAACTGTTGCTGCTGTAAAGAATTTACTCCAATATTTGATACACCAGGTATTTGCATAATGCTATTGGCCTGTTTTGGTAATTGTGGCTCAATAGAATTGTCCTATAATATATAAAATAAGAATATTATTAAAACATATATATATATATAACTGAAATATATAAATAAATAATTAACAATTGTAACTAGTTTGATGTGTTTTTTTATTTTTATGTATTTTTTGAACTAATATTTCACCAGATAAACTAGAAAAAAAACTAAAATTTGAATAAAAACATTAAAAAAAAACATTTTATTATATTTCAACTTGTTGAAACTATTGATATTTTCAAAAAAAGTTAAACATAACTTTAAAACGTTGAACATAACTTTAAAAAGTTGAACATAGATTTTATTTTTATTAATATTTAAAGTTAGCAATGTACATTAGCCTAACTCATTTAGATCATAATAAACTAATTTTATTTTACGGATTTTTCAGTGTCTCAAAATATTTTCATATTTTAATGTCTCACATATTTTCAGTGTCTTAAAATGTTTCAAATGAGTTGTTCATAAATTTTTTTTATATTTTATTTCAGATGATCATTTATATTTGCACCAATCATTTAATCAGTGCTAATTAGTAATTTACAAACTAAACATGACATTTACAAAAAAAAAAACTTTTTAAAAATATAATTAATATCGATTGCAGGCATTTTTTTCTTTTAATTTTAGTTAACAAATGGTATTTGCAAAATGAACAAATTTGTTAGGAAATAAAAAAAAGTGATTGCACACTATTTAACATAACAATTTTCATTGTAAATATTCTGTTTTTATCAATTCAACAAGTAAGTTTAGTATGACGTTAATGTTTATTACATTATAATTATTAATTGTAATATTCTGTTGTTTTTTTAATTGTAATATTCTGTTTTTATCCATTCAACAAGTAAGTTTAGTATAACATTGTTAATTACAATATTGTCAGGGTTCAAAAGTCCCAAACAAAATGCCCAAACAAAACTTGTTTGGGTCAACAGTGTCCAATTAAATTTTTAAAATATAATTTTTACTGTTTTACGAAACCAAGTTATGCAATCAAAATCTGTGCCATGTTATTCAGTTTATTTAAAATTAGTCTAGTGTAGTTGAAGTATATTCTTTCCTTATTTAGAATACTTCATCACAGATTTTTGTATTTTTTTATAAAGTTTCAATAATTATTTTTTTTACAATATTGTTTATTTTTTTTGAAAACTTTGTTAGTTTACATTGCATTGCATTATATTACATTTATTAAATATATATATATATATATATATATATATATATATATATATATATATATATATATATATATATATATATATATATATATATATATATATATATATATATATATATATATATATATATATATATATATATGTATATATATATAAATATATATATATATATATATATATATATATATATATATATATATATATATATATATAAATTTATATATATATATACAGAGCTTCCAGAAAGTATTAGCGCACTTGTAATTTTTTTTGTTATAGACAACTTCAAATCTATATAAGTTGTAAAGTAATTTTAATTTTGAACTAGTTTTTTTTTTTAATGAAAGGTTAAACTGATTAAATTTAATTATAATGTCAAATATTTGTCAACCTGTTTGTTTTTTTTATGAGTTAATTAGAAGTTTAATGACTACTCGAAAAAATCTCTGAAATTAAGCGTGGAAAAGTATTAGCGCATTCATTTAAAATGTATTAGCAAACTCATTTGATTCCTTTGAGAAAAACTTTTTTGGTTAATTTTCGTTAAATACTCTCTGCTGATAAAAGAACCGTAAATTAAAGTGACGGAAACATCATTTGAAATACAGTTAGTTAAAACTTTAAAATTGCAGTGTTAGAACAACGCTAAAAAACTATAATAAGTTTAAAACAGTTGAAGACAAAAGTCGCTCTGGTCATCCCAAAAAAAATGTCAGAAAGGGACGAAAATAAAGCAATTATGTTCGCTAGACACAACCTGAACATGAGCATAGCGGAAATCCCCTCAGACCTGAATACAGCGATGGGTGCACATCAAGTTAGTTGATCAACAATTAGCAAGCTGATGAAAAAAAAACATCTCAATTCATACCTTGCAACAAAGAAGCCACTACAATGTATCAAAGACCGTCTCAAGCAAAGAAAATGGTGCAAAGAGAGAGCTGCATGGACTGTAGAGCAATGGAGAAAAGTAATTTTCTCGACGAGTCAAACTTTGAACATATTATTCGCAAGAAAAAGGTTGTCGTGAGGAGATACAAAAACGAAAAATATAATCCTTGTTTTATCATGTCAAGAGTTCAAGGAGGAGAAGGTTCAACTGGCATTTAGGGCTGCAATGCTGGATCTAGAAATGGTCTGGCGCATCTTTAGACTGATCGCCTTACTCAACATCAATATAGAAATAATAGAAGATTATTTAAAGTCATCAATGGACGTTTTCAAGGCTGACTCCACCTGGAAATTTCAACAAGCTAACGCTCCTTGCACACTCAATTAAGCAATATATGAAGGAAAAACAGTTAAACCTAATGCCTTGGCCTGCTCACTCACCTGATTTAAATCCTATAGAGATTCTTTGGAGTTGGATGGACTGCAAATTACAAAAAAGCAAGCCCACTAACTTGGTGCAGCTCAAAACGCAAATGCAAAAGTTGTGGAATACCGTGCCACAAGAATTAATCAAAAAACTTAGAGATTCTATGCCGCATAATCTTGGCATGCCTTAAAAACAAAGGTGGTCACATAAAATATTAAACTTTAGAATCTTTGAAAAACTGTAAGTGCGCTAACACTTTTGCACACTTTTTAATATTGTTTTCATCAAACAATATTAAAAAGTGTGCAACTGAACATATATATATATATATATATATATATATATATATATATATATATATATATATATATATATATTTATATATATATATATATATATATATATTTATATATATATATATATTTATATATATATATATATATATATATATATATATATATATATATATATATATATATATATATATATATATATATATATATATAAATATAAACAATCCTCGGAATTAGAAAAAATGAGGTCGGCAATAATTTGCTGACCTCAATCTTTTTGAGGTTGGCATCAGGTCGGCAAAAATTATTTGATACAAAGGTCTGACCATAAAACATAAAAACGAGGTTGGCAATTTTTTGAAGACCTCTAACACTTTCAGGTCGGCAGTTAGGCCGACCCTAATTCTGATGGTTGTATATATACATACATATATATATATATATATATATATATATATATATATATATATATATATATATATATATATATATATACACACACATATATACATATATATGTGTGTATATATATATATATATATATATATATATCAGGCCTTGCGATAAAGCGTCGGGCAATGTGAATTTTACGTCGTCCAAGAGCGATTTTGAATGTAGCTAGGGCTATTTGCGTCAAGCAAAAAATTTTTTGTTTGAGTATATTTAAAGATATTTTTGAGTGGAATTTTAATGAAGTAATTTTCGATTATTTTAACATTTAATAAAGTACTTTTTTAAAAACCGCATGCAGTTGATATAAAAATTTGAATTACAAAAAAATTAAATATGCTTTTTATTTACAAGTAGAAAAAATTCAGATTAAAAAAAAAGTTTAAATCTTTTTAAGTTAACATTTTAATAGAATTATTCAGCAATAGCAAAGTTGTCAATAAAATTGAGCAAAAATACTTGCTTTTAGTTTTAGATTTTTAACTTAAATAATTATTTTACGGGGGTTTGTTAGGTTTTTAAATTATTCCATAGATTTAAAAATATTTATTAACTGTTAGAGGTATTTATTTTTTATTTTTTATTTTAATTCACCTCCTCAAGGCCAAGAAGGCCACTACAGACGAGGAGGCTACTTATTTGTGGCTATAACCCTCTCTCAACTCTATAACTCCGAAACACAAACCTTGACGAACAAGGCCGCTGCGCGGAGAAACAAGTTGAGCGCGGTACTACCAGGGACGTGGTGGGGATTGAACTCGGAACCACTCGTTTATGAAGCGAGCGCTCTACCACTACACCACTACCGCATCCGCATTTAAAGTATTTAAGAGTAATTTTGAGTAAACATTTTAAAAATTGGTAAGTGCAAATAAAAAATAATAAAAGGATTAACATTAAAACGTATTCTACTTGATTCAATATAAAAGTACAGTTATTAAAATTTTTGTAAAAAGTAACTCAAAAAAAAATTACTTAAATAATAACAATTGCTTTTTTGTTTTAATGTTTACAAAAGTTGTAAACATTAAAAATCTATTCAAAACGTTTGTTAAAGTTTTTTAGTAAAACGAGTGATTGTGCTTATCAAAATTATGCTTTATGAAAATTAATAAAAATAAATAAAAAAATATTATATGAAATCGCTGGTAAAAATATTAGCTATTGCACAATTTTTAGTCGTACAATATTAAAATTTCTAGTTTATTACTCGCTGACTTTTTAAAAAGAAAAAATAATTATTTGAAAAACTTTAAATTTCATATTTAAGAAAAAAAAAAAATCAAATATTAAGCATCTTTTATAATCTTTTTTAAATGTTTAGTTATAATGTTTTTTATTCGTTTAGTATAGATAAAACGTGTCAAACGTCGAGAAAATAAACAAATATTTTTACATTTTAAAAAACGAAACATTCCAAAACATTTTTAAATAATAACATTTCTACATTAATGATTTAAAGAAGTTTTGCGGTAATTAAGTAAATTGGTGCAGTTAATGTCAATAAATAGGAAAAGCAAATAAAAAGAATTTAATGACGTCAAAAATCACGTCGTGCTTATGTGTCGCGCAGTTTTTATTCATCACAAGGCCTGTGTATATATATATATATATATATATATAAAATAAGGGTCACGAAGTTCTAGAATATCGAAGTATAAAAATTTATCCAAATTTGTATAAATTGTCTCCAATTTGGACAAATTTGGATAAATAAAGATCAGTCTTTGATCCTATGATAATTTGTTGATAAAATCTAGAAAGTTCTTCATTTGTAGAATCTAGAAATATGTAATTTTTGTGTACATAGAAATTTGCTTTCATGGACAAATGATGCCAAAATCAAACAAAATCATGAATTTTTAACTTCAACGGTTGCACTATATTTTATGAAACTTAAAGCGTGTACACGAAATAAATGTGAAAAGAATAACTATGTCATTTTTTTTCAGTGGTTATATTAAAATCTTTTTAATTGTTTTGTACTTTGTTTACAATGTGTTGCGGTTTCAAAAAAATGTATTAGTTTTTTGATTTAACTTAAAAAGAAGACATAAGAGAAAAAACTATGCACAAATATTTGGAAAATCCAAATAGTAGCTACAATTCGATAGCAAAAGCGTTGCAAATACATCCATACACCATTAGTCATGTAATCCAACATTTTTCTCAAACAAAATCCATCAAATTTAAATCTGGTGGTAGAGGAAAGAAGGGTTTTAAAGATAAGAAACTAATTAGAAAACTGGTTAACAGTTTTAAGACTAACCCAAGTCTTTCATTAAGGGAACACGCAAACATTTATGGACTCTCATAGTTTTGTTGTAAAAGTTCGAAATAAACATGGTTTTCATTCTTTCAAAGCACAAAAGTGCCCAACTGAGTGAAACTCAACAAAAAAGTGCAAAAACCCGCTGCAGAAAATTGTATGACAATTTTATTTCTAAAAACTTCTGTATTGAAGACGATGAAACTTATATCAAGTAAATCTTAAACTTACATCAGCAAATTCCTGGTGCCGTCTATTATATTGCCAAATGTAAAGGAAAAGCAGATAAGAAATTTAAATACATAAAACATGACAAATTTGCTAAAAAAGTCTTGATTTGGCATGCTATTTGCAGTTGCGGCAAAAAATCAGCACCTTATATTTCTCAGTCCACACTTTCAGGTCAAATATATGTTAAAGAGTGTTTACAAAAATGCCTTTAACCTAGCTTTGGAATAGTATAAAAATAATAATGTGAAATTTGTGCTTAAAACAGAAAATCCTTTAAACTGCCCAGAATTAAGAGTTATTGAAAAGTACTGGGCCATTATTAAAAGAAAAATAAAAAAAATAAAAAAATTTGTAGAAAAATTAAAGATATTAAAATATCATTTAAAAAAGCATCAAATGGCTTCAATTCTTATTCTGTGCACAAGCTTATGGTACCACCAAAGCAAAAGTTCGAAATTTTATTAGAATCCCACAGGAATAATTAAATTTTTTTTTTATATTTAATCTTCTTTTATTATTGTATTAAAGTTATTACTTGGTTAGAAATAAAAATTGAAGAGTACTTTTTTTTAGTTGTTTTTCTACTTTCACATTTATTACTATTTATTTTAAATGAAAATTGAAGAATACTTTTTTTTAGTTGTTTTTCTACTTTTATATATTTTACTTTCACATTTATTTCGTGCACACGCTTTACTTATAAATTTACATATAGAAAATACATTGGCATCAGTTCTCAGTAGTAAAATATTTTAATTTTGACCCAATTATAATTATAATTATTGACCCAATTATAATTATAAATGTTTTCAGAAGATTGTCATGATTGCACTTTGAAAAGTTGTGTCTGTACTTTTCAACAACTTGCAGAAGATATTGTTTTTGTTGTTCATTTTTTGTTATAGTGGCATTGAAATTCTGTATGAGGGCAATACCACGTTCATCATAGTTATTGACACAGGCCAAGTTTTTTATCTGCTCACAAGCAATCTGATAAGATTGGCTTTTGAGCAGATAAAAAGACAAGAAAACTGTTGTCAATCGCAGTAGTTATGAAGAAACTTCTAGAAACGGTTATTCCGATATTGAATGAGAAAGTGACTTGATCTAATGCAATCCTCTATGATCTTTGATTTCTAATCTTCATTTCTATATCATTTTCGATCTTCATCGTGTAGATTGTCTTTGCCATCCAACATGTTCTATGAAGGGCACTAGGTTTTCGAATTTGAACAGTTGCTACAGTAGAATTATTCAAACCAATCATGGAAGCCGCAAGTTGAAGAAATTCTTTATAATCATCTCGAGGATGGCCAAGTTGAAGTTCAGCAATGAATTCCTTTAATTTGTCACTTGCAGAGATCAGTGGTGTCAGTCGCGGCTTTAGTTGGCAGTGAAATAATTTAAACCAGTTTTCTTTAAATTTTTAAAATACCAAAATCTCCAGTCCAGTGGATGGACCAAGGCACACTCCATACGCATCTGACAGCAGCACCTCGAACATGTGATGGCGACAAGCCAACCATAGCAAGTTTTGACCAATCGCTGGCTCCAAAAGTGAGTAGGCCCCATTAAGTCGACCTGTATTTGAGGCTGTTGTATCATTCACATTCCGATCACTAGTAAATCTATCTACCACGACTTCAAAAGTTCTAAAACTGCCTCCATTGCTGCCTTTCCAGACCTAGAAGACAACTGGCACACACAGAAGTTTGATGCTTCCATCAACAAGAGAAAATATCAAAACTGGCAATCTATCCACTTGTTCTGTGTCTACTCCAGTGATATCAGGCAGAAGCTTGCCAGTGCACAATTTGATTTGCTTACTCAAAAGTCTTCCTTGATCTGATTTTTGAGTTTTTTTGACGAAACAGCTGTCTTTGACGGTGAAAGGTACTTTTTGAAAAAACTATGGAAGCTGTTGAGCACCTATTTCATTGAGCAGAGATGCCAGGATCATCTTTGATATGCCAATGCTTGTGTTTTGTCCTGTCTAATACTGCTGATACTTTTAGAGTCAGCACAGAGGATTTAGGCTTTTTTATTGCTACTTGTTCTTGGAGTTTTAGGCTTGAAAATAAATTCATCAGCAGATTCTTGTTACTCTTCATCAGAGAAACTGAAGTTTATCTGCCCTTCACTTTTATTATTAACTTGACTGACTGAAGTTTATCTGCCCTTCACTTTTATTATTAACTTGACTGACTGAAGTTTATCTGCCCTTCACTTTTATTATTAACTTGACTGACTGAAGTTTATCTGCCCTTCACTTTTATTATTAACTTGACTGACTGAAGTTTATCTGCCCTTCACTTTTATTATTAACTTGACTGACTGAAGTTTATCTGCCCTTCACTTTTATTATTAACTTGACTGACTGAAGTTTATCTGCCCTTCACTTTTATTATTAACTTGACTGACTGAAGTTTATCTGCCCTTCACTTTTATTATTAACTTGACTGACTGAAGTTTATCTGCCCTTCACTTTTATTATTAACTTGACTGACTGAAGTTTATCTGCCCTTCACTTTTATTATTAACTTGACTGACTGAAGTTTATCTGCCCTTCACTTTTATTATTAACTTGACTGACTGAAGTTTATCTGCCCTTCACTTTTATTATTAACTTGACTGACTGAAGTTTATCTGCCCTTCACTTTTATTATTAACAGAACTCATTAACCAATGATGTCACAAAATATCATTATTATTGAAATTAAAAAAATCTAAAATAAGTTAATTTAATATTATTGTTATTATAATTATTATTATCATTTTCATTATTATTGTTAATTATAATTTGACATTAACTTAAGACATTGTACTACTGATGAGCCTAATGGCTTAGTGTACAACTGTACATACAATACATATTATGTAAATATATTAGCATCATAAAATACACCGTAGAGGTTGAAAATTTATGATTTTGCTTGATTTTGACATTGTTTGTCCTTGAAAGCAAATTTCTATGTACACAAAAGTTATATATTTCTAGATTCTACAAATAAAGAACTTTCTAGATATGATAAACAAATTATCATAGGATCAAAGAATAATCTCTAAAAATTTATTCAAATTTGTTTTTTAATAAAAATCACTCATTAAACACCTCCTCATTAAAATAAGTTTTCGTGAAAAATTATGGGATATGGTTAAATAATGGTTTTCACAACAAAAATTATGGGTAATATATGCATTATATATATAGATGGTTAAGCGCCAAACCTGCCTTTACAACGAATATGTTGAAACAAGATAATTTACAAATTTCAGTTATACCTTAAATTTTCAAACTTCAAAGTACATTTTAAATTACAGACAATTTAAAATTCAACCAGTTAATACACTTATATAAAAGAAACATACCTGACCAGCAATTTGCTGACCATTAGGAAGAAAAACTCGTGGATAGTTTGATTGTTGAAATGCTTGACCTTAAAAGTATACAAAAAAAAAAAACTTTTAATTTTGTTATAAACTTTTTTAATTTAAATTATAATTAAAGTTTTAAGAAACAAGAAACCAAAATATTTATAAACAAAGTATACTATATATATGTTACTAACAGTAAGTATATATATATATATATATATATATATATATATATATATATATATATATATATATATATATATATATATATATATATATATATATATACAAATTTATTTTAACATCTTCAATTCCAACAAAGTTGCAAGCAACCACTATTAGAGTTGATGAAGCTTATAAAGCAAGACAACTTAAGCGAATTCTAAAAAACTGATGTTCGAGGAAAAAAACAAGATGATCAAGAATTTTTGGAGCACTTAGGAACTGCCAAAGTAAATAGATGAGATTCAATTGGATGACAAATAACACAAGAATGAATTTTAGTAGATGACACAAAAGACACTTTAGAGCAGCTCCTCTCGTACAGTATTTATAGAAAAAAAGAAAGAGAAGCAACATTAGGACAATGTGACATTAGTTAAAGGTTAGATAAAAGTTTTATGCTGTAGCAGAAGAGCTTGAAAAGAAGAAATTCTTTTCAAGCTCAAATGCCCCCTTTAAGCAACCAGAGATTGTTGAGATAAGAATAAATGATAGCATCATCAGCGAACAATGCCACCTTGGATGCTAGAATTTCACGAAGACCGTTAATGTAAATTAAAAAAGTATAGGGCCAAGGATAAAATCTTAAGGAACCCCTTGGCATTAGACAAAACCTTTTTACAATAGTTTCTAGCAATAACAAACAGACGTCTGTTTTCTGGATTTTGTTTTGGCAAAAGATATGGAAGTAATGGTTACGGTAAATTGCAGCAGCACATTGAGAGGAAAACCATGCAGATGAGTGAGGCTTGACTTGGAATTGCCAAGAGGGAATTTAAGATTTCATGCCAGCCTGAATCCAAAAAATTACAAAAGAAGCACTTTTTTCAGCAGGAAGACAAAAGATTTCTACCCAAGGCCCATCACAAAGAAAATCACGGAAAGAGTCCCAGTCAGCTTTAAGTTAGTTGTAAGAGGTACATTAATAGAGGGATTCATATGATGAAGAAGAATGAGATAAAAGTTTAGAGAGATCAAACCACAATCAGAAGCACTTAAGGGTGAATTTAGAGAAACTGAGCACTGATTAGGATCAGAAACAAGACATAAGTTGAGTAGAGAAAGGTAAATGATTGTGGGCCTTAATGCCTGCAAAGTAGGGGTGTACCGGATTGGAAATTATGAATTCCAGCTGGAACCGGATATGACGGAATTGTTGAAAAAATTCTTTCCGGAATTAGATTTATTTTTATTTAGTTTTTTACTATCAAGATTGAAAGTGAAAGCCTGCACTTCAACATCATGGCTACATAATATACATTTATAACCTATAATATATATATATATATATATATATATATATATATATATATATATATATATATATATATATATATATATATATATATATATATATATATAATATACATATACATATATATATATATATATATATATATATATATACATATACATATATATATATATATATATATATATATATATATATATATATATATATATATATATATATATATATATATATATACATATACATATACATATATATATATATATATATTATATATATATATATATATATATATATATATATATATATATATATATATATATATATATATACATATATATGAAATATTTACTGTATTAGGCATCCTACACATTTTAACTATTTAAAAGTTAAGAATCTTAAAAATGAGACTATTGTCAGAGGCAGGTAACATTTTTGATGAAAAAAGAGTTTGTTTGTTGCTCAAAACTGGATAGTAACTCTTTTTATACCACAATATTCAAAAACTTTTAGAAATCTTTACATAAGTGATTACTGCAAATAAAATTAGGTAAGCTACAGATATGCGGTCTAAAATAATTTTATTATATTGCTTGCTGCGCTTTTGCGTGGAGACTTGTTCAAAATGGTGACTTTTTAAAATATAAACATAAAGAATATTTATTGGCTTTAGTACATACATCAACTATCTTATAGCCTGCTGCTACAAGGAAGTGCTACTAAATTGACTGAGGATTTAGCATAGGGTAGCAATCTTTTTTCTTTTAATATTTCAATTAAAATTTTTTGAAAAACTCTCCACTAACGAGTGCGCAACAAGTGAAAAAATAAAAATTATTTTAGAACTCTAAACTGCAGCTTAATTTTAAATTATTGAGAATTTTTTATTTTTTACCTAGGTTTACCCATAGTTCTTCATTGCCCTGTAGGACAATGGTTTTTTGATTTAATTTACACAGTCTGTGTCACATGTCATAAATAAATAAAGTAAAAAATAAATTCCAGCATTCCAGCCTGAAATATTATAATTCCGGAACCGGATTGATCTAAAAGTCTCAAATTTCTGCCTGAACGGAATTCCAGGAACATCCCTACTGCAAAGTCACTGACACTAGAGCCAAGCCATTCAGTGTGATGAGCGTTGAATTCACTAACAACAACAATATTGGCTGAAGGGTAAAGAGAAAGGGCTTGGTTAATTTGATCAAAAACAGCATTGAAAAGATTGCAGTATTAAGACGGAGAGCGATATAGAACAGAGAGAAAGGTGATAAAGTGGTGGTGCTAAACAAAAGCACATAAAAAAGTCTGTGGATTTAAACCTAGTTTCCCGAAAAATGGGTGAATTCTTACGAATGTAAATGCCCGGGCCAAGCATGTGACTATTGGAGTCTTAACGAATTCAATGGTTTTTTATGTTTTTTAGTTTTTGATACTTTGGTTATTTTTGAAATTGGTTAAAAATCTTGATTTAAAGCACAGATAATACTCAGTACACTATCTATAAATCAAAACAATTGCTTTATTACTATTAATAAACATATATATCAGAGGTGTACACTAGTGGTCCCTCAACATTACCAGATGATTGGATTTTGTGACGGGCAACATTAATTGTATCAAAGCACCATAGATTAGTAATAAACTAAAAGGTTCACACCTCTTTCCTTATTAATATCACATATAAGGCCAGAGGCAATATTGAAACTTAAACCTATTGGTTCTAAGGCAGAACTCAAACCACTGCGTCATAGCTGCTTTAAATTGATATAATTGATCCTACATTATTTTTAATTGAGGAAAACTTTTTTAATGTTGTCAATGAATACCAGAGAATAAAGCATTCTTTAATATGTAAACTTAAATCAAAATTATTCTTGAATATGTTAATATTAACTTTGAGCATGGTTTTTATAACTTTAACTTGTTATATTTATAAAATGCCCTTTTGCTTATATAATATATCACTTAAAATTATTAATTTTATTTATTCACTTCAATTATTACCGTGTCGAATAGCAGCTTGAAGAGCTTGAGCCTGCTGCTCTGGAAGACTTTGAATATTTAAGTGCTGCCCTGATATTTGACCTGGTAACAACTGACCAGGTTGAAGAGTAACAGTACGGAAGACAGGCTGTGCAACACCAGGTATCATTTGTCTAATAAGAACTTGACCAGGCTGAAGTATCTGAGGAGGTTGAACTTGCGTTGGCTTTGAAAAAAATAAATTGAAAAATTAAATACTAAAACATTTATAATATTCAATAAATATACTTGCACATAAACACTTAAAAAAGATTTTAAAATTTTAAACATTTACAGGTTGATTTTGAATATTGAGTTGTTGCGACATTGAAGATACAATTTGTTGATGGTCTCCAAATCTAGTTGGAGGATGTTCAAGCAAAGCATGATGTTGAAAACGATCTTGCATATTAGGTCTATGAGGATATTGTGAACGATTTAAAAAAGTTGCAGGTCGCATTTGATGCCTTTATACAAAACAAAATAAAAAATTAAATGTTCTAAATTAAATTATTTCCTAGAAATGAAGAATAAAATTAAACAAAAAACCTTTGAGGTGACATTTGATGCATCATAGGCTGATGCTGCATTGTGGGTAACTGTGGTGTATCGCCTAGAAGCAAACAAATTTTTATTTTTATTTCAAAACTTAAATAAAATTATATAAGTATCTCAAATTTTTTTCTCAAGTTTATCATTCCAAGGTTTTTCTAAACTTTTTTTGAAGTTTTATATGACATTGCTTCTTTTAAGGCACAGGTTAACATACTTTAAAAGAAATTTTATTTGATAATGTTAGTTGCTCATTAATGTTTAAAAAATGAATTTAATAAGCTAAATTCAGAATTCCATTTTATTTTAAAGAGCACAGGGATCGAAATAAACAAATTTCTAAAATGTTGTTTATGAACCAACTCAATGCATATATAATTATATTAAATTTATAAATACACGTATGTATGTATGTATGTATGTATGTATGTATGTATGTATGTATGTATGTATGTATGTATGTATGTATGTATGTATGTATGTGTATGTATGTATGTATGTATGTATATATTTATATTAACAGTAGATTAATTGTAACAAATTCTATTTTTAACTGAAATTAAAAAAATGAAAATAAATGATAGCTGATATTGTTTTAAAACTGTGTTGTGCTTGAAGTTGACATTTAAGTTATCATTTAAATTGTAGGAAATAATATGCGAATAAATTGTGAACATTAATATTTAAAAATATGAAACTAACTTTTTTTAGGTTCTGTATCTGATTCTTCACTTGATGACGAAGATGAAGAACTAAAATAATAAATTACGTTAAATTAATAATTGTAGTGTTCATTTAAAAAAGCTAACAAAAACAACCTAAAAAACCTTACATATTATTAATTATATGTTAGATATTGCTATTAATAAATTTATTGTTAGTTATTATTTTGTAAAGTTTATAATTCTATATAGAACAAAAAAAAGGGAAAATTTTTTCAAACAAAATTCAATAAATTTTTAATATTTAACAAAAAATGTTTTACTATTTTTATAGTTCAATTTTTTTTTTAATTTAAAGCTATACTAATAGCTTTTTCAGAAACATCTAAAAAACGTTTTCTTATACATCTATGACTTTTCATATACATCTATATTAAAAATCTTTTCATGCACCTCTATATTAAAAATTTTTGTATATCCATCATTATCAAGGAGTAAAAATAATTATATAGATAAACCCAAAAAAAATAACAATTACAAAAAAATAAAAAATATATAGAAAATTGTTGCACTTTTGCAAAAAAAAGCCATTATCTAATATTCTTGGAAAAAAAATATTGATGTTTTAAATAACATTTGGGGTCAAAATTTCAAATTATTGCAGCTTTATCACCTGCATTGAAACCAGAATTTATATAGTTACAACTGATTCTGCAACTTCTTTGAAACATTGAAAAAAATTATATAATGGCTTTAGGATTTTACAGAAATATATGGACAAAAATACTTAAAACTATAAACAAAAATGTAACCAAATTAAGATAATAAAAAGATGTTTACTTACTCATCGTCGTCACTCGCCAAAAGTTTATCCTATATATAAGGGCAAAATCAGAAATCAAACAATGCTAATAAAAGATTTAAAAAATAATGTTCTCAATAAATTTTGAAACTATTAACAGAACAAACGAGATTTAGCATTTAACTTTTTTGATTACTTTTAATATTACTCTAGTTTGTAAATAAAAAAACTAAAAAAAAAAACTACCTCATCAACTTCAGCATCATTTTCCTAAAGGATAAAAAAAGCTGTTGAAGTCTTTTTTTGTAGAAAAGCAGTGCAAAGCAAAGAACTTTGTTAGATAAGTAATTAAAGACTTTTTTGATATTACATTCAATAATATATTCTTTATATGATGATTGCAGAACTTTATTAGATAAGAAATAAAAAAAATATTTGGAGGAGAATTATTCATAACATGCCAAATGATTTTTTGAATTTTTTATACATCCTCTCATATATGAGAATGCATTAAAAGAATCATGTGGTATATCATTCTCACAAAAACTCCTCTAATGCAATCTCAATAACATTAGGACAATCCTAATGTTAATCTATCAAGACTGTCTTAAGAAACATAAAACTTTGAAAATTTGTATCTGTCTCATGTTTTTATAAACTTTCATAATACACAGTATAATTTTTTTCACAACCAACATTGATTGATTCAGAAAGAGTTTTTTATGTAGCAGGACTATTCATAGGAAAAATTTGTTCATGATTAAGTAATAAATCAATTGATTGATAATACTTTTTAAAGCAATTTTTTCATTCAAAAAATAATTTAGATCAGTGTGCTAATATAAATTTGTGTTAAAAACCTTTTGTTGTTATTATATTCAATTATGATTTCAGATAAAATAAAAATTATGCAGTGATCTTTAGAAATTCCTGGATAATAAAATCTCTTTCTTTTTTTTTCAAAACTGTCTGATTTAAAGTTGGGATTTTACAACTAAAAATTTGCAAATTATATTAGGGCAGTGCTAAAATACATGTGTATACAGGTCTAGGCAGGAGTAAATGAGTGCATGAGCATTGAAATGCCGGTCTAAAACAGACTTGGTGGGCAACGTAAGGCGTCTGTGCTGATTGTGCTTGCATATTATCTTGTTACGTGCTTCTTCCAATTTTCACGTATAAAAGGTTCATTTGTTCCTTTATTTTTTTTTTGAGAATTATTTTTTTCTAATTTGAAAAGTTGAAAATTGCATTGAACAGCTTCAAGCATAAGAGTAATTATAATAAAAAACTTAAATGAGTTCGCTACTTTTAAAATCATTATTGTGTTCATAACTCACATTTAAAGAAACAAACTTTTATAACTGATATAAAAAAAGATTTTATTCAAATTATTAAATATCCATTGATTAATGCTTTATTATTTTTGTTTTAATTTAGTCGTATTTTACTAATTAAGTTAAAATATTGTGTAATAAAAAGTTCTTTAGCTATTAGAATAAAGAGTTTGCATAGGTTAAATTTTATATTTTGTATGTATGTGTGCATAAATACATATACATATATATATATATATATATATATATATATATATATATATATATATATATATATATATATATATATATATATATATATATATATATATATATATATATATATATATATATTTAGATATATATATATATATATACAGGTCGAAATGTGTCAGACATTGGCGCACTCCAGATTTAAATATATATAAATAGCCTGCAAAATTTAGGTCGGCAACCCGATGCAAAAGCCGACTTATTTTTGCTTTATGACGGTATACAACAACCAACCTGAATCTCTTAGAATGTCAGCATGCAAAAATAAATATATGAAAAAAATTTGTAATATTCTTTCATTATAATTTCATATTTTATTTATTGCAATTGTTTTAATAAGTTAAAAAAGTTTTATTAAAATTATTCATTTTTTTTTTTAATTCATTTTTTTGTTTTATCTCAAATTAATTTAAGCATAGCAAGGTCATTTATTCATTTAAAAGTTATAAAATTTACTTTACAAATGTCTATTGTTCTTATACTTTTTTACTTAAAATTTTAGAGTGATTATTATTTTATTAAGTTTTAAAATCAAGGATTAATTTATTTTGATTGATTAAAACTGTTTACTTACATGTTTACAATTTTTTAAATATTATTTAAGATCAGAAAGTCTATTAAGTTTAGTCTTGGTATAGTTTTGTTAAACACATGTTAATTAAAAAACGTTAAACTTCTTGGTATAGTTATGTTAAACACATGTTAATTAAAAAACATTAAACTTCTTGGTATAGTTATGTTAAACACATGTTAATTAAAAAACATTAAACTTCTTGGTATAGTTATGTTAAACACATGTTAATTAAAAACATTAAACTTCTTGGTAAAGTTTTGTTAAACACATGTTAATTAAAAAACATTAAACTTCTTGGTATAGTTTTGTTAAACACATGTTAATTAACCCTTAGAGCGCGACGAGCCACGATCGTAGCTTTAAAAGTTGTCTTTGAAACTATGACTTTTTACAGCAAAATACCGCTGATCATTCATTAAAAATGGTAGCATTGAATAGAGTACATTTTTCTCTATCTTTTAGTATATTGTTATTATATATTTGGTTTTGAAAATGAGCGACAGTGAAGAAAGTTGAATGGATGACGAGAATTGAACCAGCGAAGAATTTTTAATTAACATGTGTTTAACAAAACACATGTTAATTAAAAATGGGTTTTATCAAAAAAGCTAATCTTAAATTTTACTGGGATATAAGTCATCCTTGTGCATCTACTCCCTGGTTTGTTACACACTTCAATCGAGACCGGTTTCAACTTTTGCTTAAATTTCTTTATTTTACAGACATCCATATACCAAATCAATAACCAATCAACAAAATTTATAAAATTCAGTTTTTAGTTGAACATTTTAACAACAAATTTCTTTATTATTACTATCCACAAAAAGACATTTCTATAGACGAGAGTATGGTTGGCTACAAAAGAAAGACACCACATCTGCATCAATATATGCCAAACAAACGTCATTTTAGGTTTGGGATTAAGTTATGGTGTGTTTCAGACAGCACTAATGGTTATTTGTGTCAATTCGAAATTTACAAGGGAGGAAAAGACTCAGATGTAGCAGCCTTTGCTTATGATATGACTTATAGTTTAGTTTTTTGCCTTTTGCGCCAAACTAATTTCCTCCACCAAGGTCATCAGTTAGGTATTGACAATTATTATACTTCTCCTCAACTGTTATTAGATCTATATGCTCATCAGACCACTGCAACAGGCACAGTGATAGTCAACAGGAAAGGCCTACCAGAAACCTGCATTAAATCGAAATTAAAAAATAAGGAGGTTTGCCAATATAGAAAAGGTCCCTTGGTGTGTGTGGCATACCAAGATGGTAAAAAAAAGCCTATATTACTATCTACTGTTGCCAAAGCAGGTTTTACTGAAATGCGTAACAGAAGAGGAAATATAGTTATGAAACCAAATGTTGTTGCCCTTTACAATAAAACCATAGGGGGTGTAGATTTGGGTGATGCTCAGCTCTATGTGTACTTGTCTGAGCGTAAAACAATAAAGTGGACAACTAAAGTTGCTTTTTCTTTATTTGGTAGGGCAATTTTAAATAGCTATTTATTGTATAAGCTCAATACAAATGAACAAAAGCCAATGTCAAGAATAGATTTTATGATGGCTATAGTGGAAAGTTTAGCCGGAGGTTATTTTCCAGTAAAAGTAATTTCTATAAGAAGAACATCAAGAGAGATTGAAGTGGCTAGAAGTACAATTGTCCCATACCCACTTCCCCAACATACTGCAAATAGCAATCCATTATATGGCCACAATCTTGTTAAGGTTGGTGCAGGAAAAAAAATAAAATGTGTAGCTGGGCACTAAACTTGAGTCCGCACAAGTTGGCAGTGTCAGTTATGTGATGTTGGACTTTGTCCAGCCTGTTTTTCCAATTATCACACAACAGTTGTGCATTAAAATCTTTAAAATGCTTTTAATCTTATATAACCTACAAAAAAAAAAAAAAGTTCAAAAATAGTTATTTTCCTGTTTGTTTGTTTTTTTGTTATGTTTATTGCCGATTTTTTTTGCCGTTATTTTTTTAGTTTAATTTTTCTGAACGGTGTTTAAATTTTATCGAGCGCTCAAAGGGTTAAAAAACATTTAACTCTTTGGTATACTTATGTTAAACACATGTTAATTAAAAAACATTAAACTTTTTGGTATAGTTATGTTAAACACATATTAGTTAAAAAACATTAAACTTTCTTAAAATTTGATTTAAGTTTTTCATTATAATTGCAGACCATTCAAAATAAGAAACGCAACAGTGTTACATAAAGCAAACTCAAAAAATTGCAAAACGTTGCTTTTAAAAAATATATATATTTTTAGTATTATTTTTTTTCGATTTCTTTTTTTTTTCCTTCCATGTTATTTTTAAAGAGTAAGAATTAGTGATTTTTTAGTTTTGAAGGTTTTTTTGTTAAAAAAACCTTCAAAACTAAAAAATCACTAATTCATAAAATGGCTATATACTTAGATAATTAATTACAAGTTTAATTTATCAAAATATTGTCTAAAGCTTTGCTATTATAAAGCTATGCTTTTAAAATCAATTAATCCTTTTTGTAACAGAAAGCAAAAAATCCAAATAAATTTTTTCCTGACGTCAGCTTAGTAGGGCACTGTTGTGCGAAACTGAAATCTTTCAAACTTTGCAGGCTGTTAGTTAGGGTCGGCATTCTGCAATGTCAACCTAACCCCTAATCTAAAAATGTTTAAGGTCTGCAAAAAATTGTTGACCTTGGGTCTATGTTTTGTGGTAAACCCTTTGTGTCAAACTTTTTTTGCCAACCTGATACTAACCTCTAACAGTTTAAGGCAGTTTATTGCTGACATCATTTTTGCTAATGCCAAGGGTTGCATATGTATATATATATATATATATATATATATATATATATATATATATATATATATATATATATATATTATTTTCATGTGAATCAGCACTTAAATCACTATTAACGATGAACCATTTATTTTTCATTAAAAAAATAAATTATTTAAACTTTGTCAAGCAAAACTAACATAAAAAACATCATCAATGATGTATGTGGAAATTTTTTTCTGTAAGAAGAAATATCTTACAAGCCTTCCAGAAAAGCGTGCGCGGTCGCACACTTTGTTCGTCCACGTTTAAAGTATTTTTTAAACAACTTGACAACGTTTTTATATAGTAGGCGCTTTAAGAATTTGCAGCCTGCAAATTATTTTTTAAAATAAAACTATAAGAAACTACAAAGAATAAAACAGCAATACTTAAAGAAAGAAAACGAATACTATACGAAATAGAAAATCTAAATAAAGTAAACTAAAAAAAAAATTGAAAATTAAAAAAAACAAAATTTTGCTAAAAAAATAATACCTAAATATTTTACTGTTTTTGTTTACTTTTTTTTTTTTTCAGTAGCAAAATTGATACAAGTCGAGGAAAAAAGCAGATAAGAAAACAACGAAAATAAATTTTTTTTTGATACACAATTTTTTGATACTTTTTTCAGTCAGTATATTAAGAATATACTTTATAATTTGCGCTAGAAACTTGGACAATTTTTAAATTTGTTTTTCAAATGTTTTTGCTAAACTTAACTGTTTTTATCAATGCACAGGAAAGCAAGAAAACTAATTGTTATTAATTTGTAAAAAAAACAAATTACCCTCATTGAATTAGTCTGCACTTTTGTTTGATTAACAAATCCGATTTTCAAGTTTAATTTAATTTTATTTCCTGATGAACTATTGCTATTGACGATGCTCCAAAAGCTAGTGGGCTAGTGCATTGTTTATTTATTGAACTTTTTAATGAAACTTTTAGGATCCTATTTAAACTTTTTTTTTAGTTTTTAAATAGATTTTTCAAGTTTTTTGATACATCAAACAGAGCAATCATTATGTTCATTATCTCAAAGTTGAATTATCGTTCGAAATTAAGCAATAAAAGAAACAATCAGACATGCATCAAATGTGACAAATACATTTATAAAAGAAACTATGTTATTCTTTTATTTAATTTATCCCGTCATTACAAAATTTGTTAATCAAATAGTATATTTTACAAATAAACAGCAATTTATTTTCTTATTTTCCTATTACATAAGTATTGAGAAAAAACATCAAATATAGTAAAAACATTTTTAAAAGCAAAAAAATTAACAAAATTTCTCATAGTTTTAGCAAATTAGTTTCCGAATTATATGGACTGATAAAAATCGCAAATAAATTGCATATCAAACCTTTCAATTGCTGTTAATTTGTTATAAAAGATAATATGCTTTTTTCATCAACTTGTATAAAATTTGCTAGCTAAAAATAACAACCACTCTAAAAAAGAGAATACAAAAGTTGTATAAAATTTTTATAACAAAATTATTTTTTAGTATTTTTTTTTTTTTTTAATTATTAAATTTTCTAGCTTATTTAATTAAACTTGAAATTTGGCTACAATTTAGTTTCTTTTAGTTTTTTTTTCTCAGTAGATAAGTTTAGTTTTTGCAATGAATTATTAAAATGCATAAAAAAATAACTTTAAACATGGACGAACAAGGCATGCCCGCACATGCTTCCTGGGAAGGCTTGTCTTAGTAAAACAAATTATTTTAAAAACATGTATTAAAAATTTAACTAATTGAATTTAATTTAAAAATTTAAAAATAACTAATTAAAAATTTAAAATTAAAACTAATTAAAACTAAAAATAAATAAATAACCAATTTATTTAATTTAAAAAATTTAACTAATTTAAATTATATATTTAAATATAAGTTTAAGCAAAAATAATAGAAAATTATTTTATGAGAATAATACAAGAATAATAGAAAATTATAATCTTTTTTAAAAGTTTCTTTTTAGTTACGGCTTTAAACTTTTATGCTTCATTTAAAAAATTTTTTGTAACTTAATAATACTTAATATTAAATAATAAGCAGGCTTGGTCGGGAAGCCGGAGCGATTTAATTTTCTAAAAGTTTCTTTTTAGTTATGGCCTTAAACTTTTTTGCTTCATTTAAAAAATTTTTTGTAACTTAATAATACTTAATATTAAATAATAATAAGCAGGCATGGTCAGGAAGCGGGAGCAATCGCTCTCGAATACTGACCACAGAAATTATATTTAGTTGCAAAAAACTGGCCAGGATTGTCGTTTTGAGAACATTTAAGTTTATGTACGAAACAAAAATTTTTGTTTAATGGACTTACATGGAAACATAAAAAACTTGAATGTTCTTAAAACATCTTGGTGCAGAAGAATAAAAAGAATACTTGTGAACTCTAAAAACCCGCCAAAATAACTAACAAATTAATTCAAAAAATACGCTGACTAAGCGAAATAAAGTTCTACACGATTTGTTACGTTTTGAGATTTCTAGTATAGATTGTTTTAAGAATATATTATTAATTCTATGGCTCATTCTCGGAGCCACATCTGCAAAGTCGTAAATCTTATAAACTATTATCATTTGTTTACAAAAATAAATGTTTTAAATATATATTATTTAAATTGTCAAAATTTTGAAAGTTTATTATAAATTAAAGATTTAATTAGTATATACTTATTTTTTATTTAAAAAACATGTATTTTTTATGTAAATGTAATTTTGTGTATCTGTTTTTTATCAATTTAATTTGTAAACAAAGACTTACAGAAATAATTGCGTTTTCAATGAAGTTATTAATAATCATTAAAGTTAATGAAACTAATTATGTAACAAACATATAATAAGTTTCTGGTTACTAAACACAAACTATGCATACAAAGTAACTTGCAGATGAACAAGCACCGCGTCTGAGGTCACGATAGAATACAAATATATATAGCAAGTTATTAGATATTAAGAAAACTTTTTGGATATTGGTTTACTAAATCTAATTATTTTCGCTTAAATTGCAATTCCTAAAAACTCTTTGTACTTTTTTCTGCTTTAAATACTAATTAAAATTAAAAAACCCACTCACTTAACATCATCAGCCATATTGTGAAGCAATAAATACTTTGATGACGAGGAAGCAGTTTCGCTTCCTCGTCATAAAAGTATTTTTAACTTTTTCAGTTGATTTCTATCTAGTTAATTAAATTTCTTAGTAATTCAATGATTTAATTATTTCATTTGTTTTTCTTACTAAAAAGAATTGTTTCAAATATGTTAAACTTTTCAAACTATGCGAAACATAAAATAGGTATTGGAAAAATAACTTTTTTATTTATAAAATAATTTAGCTTAGATAAAACTAAAACTTGTAAACTTTGTTAATTAAAGAACATTTGTTTCCTTTATAAACAATCGTAAGATGCTACTTTATATAAAAAACGTCGCTAAATTTTATAAAAAAAATTATAAAAGAGCGATGTTTCAAAAATATTTATTCTAAACAAAATTTATTTTGCTTCAAGTTTTTTTGCGTTAAAAGATATCATATTTTCCTAATTTTTTTTTTTGTAAATGTCTCTCATCGGTCCAATTAACCTTTAGCGCATTTTTTTTTTGCTTTTTGAAATGTTCTCAAAACAATTCGAAGATCTGGCCAGCTTTTTGCAACTAAATATTGGTCAGCAATCGAGAGCGATCGCTCCCGCTTCCTGACCAAGCCTGAATAAGTATAATATATATAAAACTCATCCTTTAAATCTTGAATTCTTAAATTTTGAAATCATAAACAATATTTTTTAAACAACTTAAATTTAATAAATAATTACCTTATCCTTGGACTCTTCCTTTACTCTAAAAGTATCAAATATATATATATATATATATATACATATATATATATATATATATATATATATATATATATATATATATATATATATATATATATATATATATATATATATATATATATATATATATATATATATATATATATATATATATATATATATATGTGTATATATAAATATATATATATATATATAGGGGCTATTCTAGGAAAAAAATATGTATATATATATAAATATATATATGTGTATATATTTATATATATATATATATATATATATATATATATATATATATATATATATATATATATATATATATATATATATACACACACATATATACATATATATGTGTGTATATATATATATATATATATATATATATTATATATATATATCAGGCCTTGCGATAAAGCGTCGGGCAATGTGAATTTTACGTCGTCCAAGAGCGATTTTGAATGTAGCTAGGGCTATTTGCGTCAAGCAAAAAATTTTTTGTTTGAGTATATTTAAAGATATTTTTGAGTGGAATTTTAATGAAGTAATTTTCGATTATTTTAACATTTAATAAAGTACTTTTTTAAAAACCGCATGCAGTTGATATAAAAATTTGAATTACAAAAAAATTAAATATGCTCATTATTTACAAGTAGAAAAAATTCAGATTAAAAAAAAGTTTAAATCTTTTTAAGCTAACATTTTAATAAAATTATTTAGCAATAGCAAAGTTGTCGATAAAATTAAACAAAAATACTTTCTTTTAGTTTTAGATTTTTAACTTAAATAATTATTTTACGGGGTTTTGTTAGGTTTTTAAATTATTCCATAGATTTAAAAATATTTATTAACTGTTAGAGGTATTTAAAGTTTTAAGAGTAATTTCGAGTAAACATTTTAAAAATTGGTAAGCGCAAATAAAAAAAATAAAAGGAATAATATTAAAACGTATTCTACTTGATTCAATAAAAAAGTACAGTTATTAAAATTTTTGTAAAAAGTAACTCGAAAAAAATTACTTAAATAATAACAATCGCTTTTTTGTTAAAAGTTATCAAAACTCAACGAAGCGCGCTCAAGAACAGCTGCTAAAAAATAAAAGGTCAATAGTTTTTCGAATAATTTTTAAGAATAATTTTTTCGCTGAAATATGTTTTTTATACCTATAAGATTTTTATTCTAACATTTTATTTTATTTTATTTTACCAAAAATAAAATTCCTTGTAAACATTAAAAAGCTATTCAAAACATTTGTTAAAGTTTTTTAGTAATACGAGTGATTGTGCTTATCAACCGCTTTATGAAAATAAATAAATAAAAAAATATTATATAAAATAACTAGTAAAAATATGAGCTATTGCATTTTTATTTGTACAAAATTAAAATTTCCAGTTTATTACTCGCTGACTTTTTAAAAAGAAAAAATAAATATTTGAAAAACTTTAAATTACATATTTGAGAAAAAAAAATTCAAATATTAGCATATTTTATAATCTTTTTTAAATGTTTAGTTATTATGTTTTTTATTCAATTAGTATAGACAAAACGTGTCAAACGTCGAGAACATAAACAAATGTTTTTACATTTTAAAAAACGAAACATTCCAAAACATTTTTAAATAATAACATTTCTACATTAATGATTTAAAGTAGTTTTGCGGTAATTAAGTAAATTGGTGAAGTTAATGTCAATAAATAGGAAAAGCAAATAAAAAGAATTTAATGACGTCAAAAATCACGTCGTGCTTATGCGTCGCGCAGTTTTTATTCATCACAAGGCTTGATATATATATATATATATATATATATATATATATATATATATATATATATATATATATATATATATATATATATATATATATATATTTATATATATATATATATATATATATATATATATATATATATATATATATATATATATATCAGTGGTGTACACTAGATTTTTAGATGTTTGAGTTTTGACACACATACATTTTGCAAACTCCAAACTTTTTGTATGTTCATACTTATGTCAAATGAAAATGTTTTGCAAAAAGTTGTGGTGATTGGAGCTTGGGGACAAAAAAAACCCAATTTTCGGGCTCCTACAGCCCATAATGTGGGAGCAACAAGTTGATAAAATAGTTTCTTTAGTATTTTTATCTAAGTTTATACTCAACAACAAATTTTAAATTTCATGCAATAACCTCTTAGTTTTTAGTTTTTATGACCCTACAAAGTTTACAGAAATTATTGGATGAAATTTGAAATTTGTTGATGATTATAAACTTAGATAAAAATACTAAAAAAATTATTTTATCAACTTGTTGCTCCCACGTTAATCAATCATTGAACAAAAAATTTGTTCAATGTTTTGATGTAAGCTATTTCATTTAAAGGGATCCCAAACTCCCAACATATGTTGTGTTCATTTTAAAGATGATGTAAAAAAAAAAAAGGTTTGAACCAAGTTTTTTTGATTAAAAATAATGAATGCATACCGAGAAAAACTGTTGTTGTTTTAGCCAAAGCTCACTTTCTCCATTTTTTTCAATAACTTAGAGTCTTCAAATTATATTTTGCAATCTGCAACGTATAATTTGAAAAAATTATACATTGTAGATTGCAATTTGTTTGGAAAAATAATACAAATAAATTTGTTTTGCTGTATGTTAAAAAAATACTACATCATACTTTTTGAATTAAAGTAGAAAAACACAGCTTTGTGTAATTACACTTTTCATTTGTTAAAAGTCTACCGTGACGTCAAATACTAAAACTTTTATGAATTAAATGCGCTTCAAAGGAGTCGCTAAAGTCTGTAGATTGCGATGTATAATCTGAAGACTCAGAGTTATTGAAAAAATGGACAACATTCGTTTTTCTCGGCATGCATTTATTATTTATTTTTAATCAAAAAATCTTGGTTCAAACTTTTTTTTTCAACATTATCTTTAATATGAACACAATATGTGTTGGGAAATATTTTGAATTATACCCTTTAAGGTATAATTCAAAATATTTTTCATTCAGGGCACTTTTAAAATGTTTTTTAAAATAGCTGTGGTCATATAGTGAAAGCAAAATGTAATTTGCCTGGTCATATAAAGAAGTGTGATCTCACGTCTTCCTGTGAAAGACTGATTACAACTGTAGTTTGAAATAGTTTATCTTTCTGCAACTTTTAAATAAAAGAGGTTTTTAAAATGTTATTTTTTTTTTGTGTGTGTTTCTAAATTTTTCAATTTGTATTTCCATTTTCCAAATTACATCTTGATTTATCAAACTTTGCTATTAAAAGCTCTGATTTTTTTTGAAACTTGTAATTTATTTCTTAATAATATATATATATATATATATATATATATATATATATATATATATATATATATATATATATATATATATATATATATATATATATATATGTATGTATGTATATATATATACACACACACATTTATACATACATACATACATACATACATACATACATACATACATACATACATACATACATACATACATACATACATGCATACATAGTATTTAAAGTATTTAATATAAATATAAGATTTGTTTTTCCAAGCTATGTTTCTTGTATATATATTTAAAATCAAAAAAACTAATACCCTTCAGCTTTTGGTTCTTTTTTCTGTGTTGGAAATTTAGCATCTTCGACAGATTCCTTTTTCTTTTTTTTATTTTTTTTCTTCTCTTTTTGTGGTTCAGACTTTTCAGAAAATTGTGCATCACCTAATAGCATTTCTTCATTATATTGACTACTTTCACCAGATCCTAATGCTCGAATACCAAATGGTCCTGGACCCAAATACATATCTGGTCGTGGACCGCGAAAATCACCCATAGGACCAAAGTCACCTAGCATATGCAGGCCTCTGGGACCGAATTCTCCAGGTAATGGTCCTCTAAATAAGCCATCCATTGGACCTCTAGGTCTAAAAGGTCCTCTATGACCGAATTCTCCAGGAGGTGGACCTCTTGGTCCCCAATCTCTTAAAGGCCCTCTACGCCAATCACCAAGCATACCGGGATGTCCAAATGGAGGGAGGCCCCTTAATCTCCAATCAAGTGGTGGTCCCCTAGGACCAAACGGAGGCATTGGTCGACGTCCAAAAGGTCCATCAAATGGTCCACGAGGACGCATCATATGAGGTGGAGGAAGTCCTCTAGGATGGTCCATATACTATTTTATTATAAGTTGACACCTATTAACAAAATTTTAATAACAAAATTATTTTTTTTTTTTTTTATTTGTAAAAATAAATTAAATACTACCCATTAAATTATAACTTCTATTAGGGTATATTAAACCTACTTATATGAGGAAAAAAAAAATCTCTATTATTTTGAATAAATTTTTATTATTACTATGAATAAATCTTCTTTTTGTTAATACTATGATACTATGACTACAATTAAAATAATTTAAGAAATTTTCTAGCTTGAATAAATTAAATTGTTTAGCTTTTAGAGGCTTAAATAACATTATATTCCCTAGCCATAGTCTTTTTTTAGAAAAAAAATAAAAAATAGTTTCGCCGTTCCAGATAAAATGCACGAAAAGTATACAATTCAGTCATAAAAATAATAGAATTTACCTTATTTTATTTGACTTAGCAAGTCAGCGTGACAGCAAATTATTTGGTAAAAGAAAAGGTACTATTTACAGCCAGAACGAACCAAAATTACTTGCACTACAAAAAGTACATACAGATGTTTTATTATACTAAATTAATTTTTATCAAACACAGCACAATGTTTTTGAAACTACATTAGAAAATTCTTTTTGAAAGACAATTTTAGATTTACAGATTTCATCTGAGCATCCCGTCAAAACAATAAATAAGTTTAACAACGAGTTGTTGTAAGTAAAATCTGTAAGCAAAATTATCTTCAAAGACTTTATGATGAAACTCAACTAAAAATAGTAATAATGTCTATTAATTAAAAAAACTGTGCCAGCATACCAAATAAATATAAAATATAGAACACAAGTATACTAGGCTCTGTCGCTCGCGCACAAAGAAATTAATAAGGCATGCGCTGAATTGTAAACGAACACTAGTGAGTTTTTAAAAAAAAGATTTGAGTTTTTCCAACAGAAATACAAAAAGCAAAAGCAAAAGCGTAAAAAAAACAATTAAATTTTATGAAGATGTTTATACCTTTGACCCAAACTTTGGCGAAACGTTTTTTGTATTTTCGCGTTATTTTTAGATTTATTTTACGTACTATTTTTTCTATTGTTTAATAGTAACGGGGCATAACAGTAATTTGGCGCCCCTACTATCATGCATATTTTTTAAAAGAAATTTAAATTAAAAGTATGTACAATTATACAAGCAAATAACCGCGTTTTTATTTATAATACTGTTGTTTTCCATTCATACTTTTATGAAATGGGTCAGACTTAAGTAACCATACTTAACAACCATATTTAACATTGACTAATAAGGAATAATAGACAGATTCTTTGAAATTGATATTGAAAATTCTCTTTTCTTGCTTTTTTACAAGCGAATAATAATAATATTAATTAATATTATTATTATTATTATTATTATTATTATTATTATTATTGCTATTATTATTATTATTATTATTATTATTATTATTATTATTATTATTATTATTATTATTATTATTATTATTATTACTGAACATAAAAATTATACTTTTATAATAATTATACTTACTACGCAGAACAAGATAAATTTACAATCAACTCGTTTTAGGGGGTTTGGAAACTTTGCATAACTTTCAAACATTAAAATATAATGGGATACAATTTGAAGTTTGTTGACGAATATAAAACTAGTTTAGAATAGTATAAGTAAAACTAATTATCTTATTACCATCACATTTAGGGTTATGGGGCACAAGTTTTGGTTTTATTTGTTCTTTCCAGACTTCAGCTATTGCAATTTTTTGCCAAGCGGTTTTGTTTTATAAAAGCATAAACATACTCAAAAACATACTGATTCTGAAAAAATTTCTCAGACCTGACATTTTTTGTAGGATTTTTTTTTTAAATATCCTGTTTGGTGTTTAGCTAAACATCCGAAACAACAATAGAGGTCTTGATAGGTCTTCAGTTCTAATGATAGGTTCTAATCAGTATTATCTAGCAAAGTGACATTTGACCATTATCAGATCTGCTCTGTGGCATTTTATGGTTAGCTTCTTTTTTGAATTTTTATCTTTTTAAATCAATTTTTTAAATTAATTTTTTTCGAGCTTGCTTTTTTTAGTTGCGTCCATTTCATTTAATTTTGCACAAGATTCATATAAGTTGTTCTGCCAACGAGTGACGGCGCACAGTGACTCAGGACAATCAAAAAACGGCAAAAATTAAATAAAAATTGACATAAATCGTAAATAAATAATGTTATGTATTAAAATAATAATTTTTAAGTCAAAGATTTCAAATTTGTTAATAATTTTTTTTTTTAATGCGCAGCTTCGACGCGTAAAATGCGCGCTTATACGTGTTAAAGGTGACTGACTATACGCGTACAAATTTTTTTTTTCAGTTTTTAGAATCTTCAAGACAAAAAAATAATTTTGATATATTACTCTACTTGATATTTTAACAAAAATGATCTTTAAAGGATGTTGATACATAGAGAAAAAATACTGTATTTTTTTACATTAAAGTTATTATTTACATTACAATTAATTTAAAAACTTCATCTGGTAACGGTTTTCCTCGATAGCTTTTATGTTTTCTAAAAGATATGCTTGATATTTTTGGATCTGATTTTACTAGAAGGTAGTGCATTTGGTTCATCATTGTGTTTAACCTAGATATTTTTGCCGTGTGCTTAAGTCTAGAATTTCTTATCTGTTTATTTAAACTCTCTAGTGCATCTTTCAAATATACCCCGATTGGCAAAGGTAATTTATTTGATATAGAAGAACTATGCAGTAGCAGTTTATGTACAGTAGGAGGCATAACATAACAGTTGTATAAACTCACTATACATTTAGCTGTTTCAGTGCAGTATAAATCTAATTCATTGATATTAATAGGATATCCACAAGATATGGTAATGAGAATAATATGCAATCTTTTAATTATACCACAATCAACTTTAGTAATTTCAGAAAAAACTTCACTATTTTTAAATGCTCTTCTGGCAGTGTTGCCGTCATTCGTGTTTCCAGACCCAGTTTTAGGTATATCAACATATAGGCTTAACCGTTCTCTGAAGAGTACCGGAATCTCTCTTTTTTTTTAAGTCTACAGATAGTTTTTCCTCAATTGTTTTTGGTTTATACTTTTTAATTTTAATTTTATAACTCAAGTGAAGAATGAACTCCAAGCATTTTATCCAGCAATGCAAAGCTGAAATTCCGAGCCCCAAGGCCGAGTCATTCTCAGTTTTTGCTTTTAATAAATCAATATTGTTCATTTCCTTGGGTTTAGCATTGCACACATTGCAGGATTGAGTGGATTTTGTCTCTGTAAGTGCGCTAACTACTTTATTATCAAACATTGTAAGATCAATCCTATAGCTGATATTAAATGTCAAAATTCTTCCTGCAATATTAAAAAAATTGCAAAACTTCTTTAAGGTATTTATTTGATTTTTTAGATCTGATTCTTCTTCTCTGGATAAAATTGGACTCTCTTTTTTATATTGTAGATGAAGAGGTCTACAAAAGTGACAACTTGAAGGATTTCCATTTTTCTAAATTTTGCCATCTTCTACTTTGAGCAATAAAGACACAAAAGCTTTACTGAAAAGATTTTCTTCATCCTTAAGTTCTATACTTGCGTTGCTTGTATCGTATTTCTGTTTATAAATACTTATATATATCATAATGTTATTATGATATGTATCATAATTTCGTCCACATTGTTTTAGCTTTTTCTACACCTTTGAAATTATGTATATGTATCATAATTTCGTCCACATTGTTTTAGCTTTTTCTACACCTTTGAAATAAATATAGCTAAAACAACCTTTACTTAACTTAAGTTTTCTTTGCGAATTTCTTCAGTATTTTTTATTTCATTAAGTAAATCCTTCCATAATCTTAATTTATCCACTCCTAGTTCACGTATATTCGGAATAAGATCTAATCATTTTCATTGTTGTTTTTAAGAACCATCAATATAATAAAACTAATATATCAGAAACATTTTTAAATTACACAGTGGCGGCGATTGCATTTTTTGGTCTTTGAGATTCCAGACATGGAGCAAACTCCAAACATTTATAAGTTTATACTTATGTAAAATAACGATGCTTTGCAAAAAATTAAGATGATTAGAGCTTGGGAACATAAGAGCCCAAAAAAATTTGGCTGACACTGCCCCAAACGTGAGAGCAACAAAATGATGATATAGTTTTTGTACTATTTTCAACTAGACTTACATTTATCAATAAATTTTAAGTTTCATAGTATTTTCATAGTATTTGATCTCTCAGCAATCAAAAATTATGACCATATAAAGTTTGCAACCTTCTCAAATTGAGGGGGGTTTAAACTTTATATGGTTATAATTTTTGAACACTGAGAGATAATACTATGAAACTTAAAATTTATCGATAAATATAAGTTCTCAAAGACCAAAAAATGCTGGCGCCGCCACTGAAATTGCATTATATATTTTTTTACTTCACAGTGTTGAAAATTTTATTTTTTTATGGCTTTTAACAATAGTCACATTGTTACATCCTGTAATAACACTATTTTACTAATTTAACTTTATGTTACAGGAAATACTATAGATTAGTACGTGTTGTACTTATCGAATAATAAACCGTTCTTTAAAATTGTCAATAAATATTTTAACAAACTTCTAAATAGTGTATAATGATAAAAGCACGTTTTTTAAAACTATATTTAATATTTATGATTTTAAAACTATATTAGAACAAGTTCTACGAGCAAAATACTTAAATTTAAGTTTCCCGCCAATTTCTTATGGTTGATATAATAAAATACTAAGAAAAATGGCAGGAAACAAGGTTTTTATGAGTTCATCAACATTAGTTTTTCTTTAATAACTTCCAATACCGTAGGAGACCGCAGTAATCCCTTTATATTCTTAAAGTAGAAATGTTAATTAACTGGAAAATATGTATATATTTGTGGAATTCGGTGGAACGTTTTTTTAGCTGATATATAAATAAAAAAATACAATTATTTGCTTTTTTTAGAGAAGTCTTTAAATTTAAACAAAAAAATCAGACTTTTTTTTTTTTAGTATATTTGAAATTTATAGTCTATTATTATAATATTTTTAAAATAAATATACGCTTTTATTTAAATTTCAATTCTCTAATTTAGTTGAATAAAAACCTCACATTTTTCAGATTTCTTCAAAAATAATATCAAATTTTTCCACTTCTTTTACCTATAAAATACAAAACAAAAGTTTTATGAAAAAATTATTTTTACTTTTGAAATAGAAATCATTGTCATTTAATATTATTCAAAGAAGGGCACTTGTGAAAAAACAGTTGTGAGGGGTTTATTGCCATTTTTGTTGTTGTTTTGAGTCACTGTGCGTTGAATTATTATTATTATTATTATTATAGTTGTAGCCGTAAATTTACATAAAATGTACACATACAGCGAGCAGGGAGAACACCCCACTATAATTAACCAGTTTTATAAATATTTGTTCCAAACTTATTCCACAACCGGGAGTCTAGTCTATTTTTGAAGGAAAGTACAGTGGAAT